CATAAATCTCAACAAGGAAGAATAAATAAAGTGGGATTAATGCTTCCCCGAAACCCCCCCCCACACACACACACAAAGTGGAAATTGTGAGAACTCTAACAAGAATCTTACAAAGAGTCCAATGCAACCATGATTTTTTCCCTGACACAGCAGTAGAGATATTTGCCATGCTTCTCTCCTTGTCCATCAAACTCGTTCCCAAGACCCACCATAATTACGATCAAATTCATTATCTGACAGCGTGTATAAATGCTGGGTTGTAAATGAAAGAAAACGGCGCATGAAACTCATGCTGATGAACCTTACAATGACACTGCCTTGGAAGCCACAGATATTATTGCTTTTGTTTTAGTTTCTTTGCTATTCCATTGTAACGAGCGCCACAAGTATGGCACCGAGAAAAGGAGTACACACCGACCATTAATATGTGGATCAATCGTAACAAATCCACAACAACTGTCCCATTCTGTCGACATTACCGGTAGCTATACACTTGGATTTGAAAAGAAACCATGCGCAAAACTGCAATCATTTTGTCGTCGGGGAGAAGTAACTACAGACGTGAAATAGCCCTGGGACTGAATCCCATGATAAGGAATAACCATTATGACCATGCTATAACACGGTGGACCCCGATCCGTCCAAAATGGATCGCCTCGATAACGAAATGCAAACTAAATGCGATGATTCACCGTATAATGTCAGCCCCCATTGCAATTGGAGGCGAGCATTGTTGGCGCTAATGGGAGGCGCGAGAGTGTTGTACATCACCACCGATTCTGGTGGACTTCAGGGGGTAATGCGATAGGGCAGTCGCACCAATGATTCATTCCCAGGGCCTCGAGAGGAGACCAGCAATTGGACTGTAGAGAGACTACTCCCCCCCCCCTGACTCGAGCAGCAGGCCCCTATCTCGTTTGGACAGGCGGCGCGGATGCGTCAAAATAAATACTGGCCGAATTTGCGCGTCGGTCCCCATAAATTTGGTGTATAAATTTAGCTGTGTCCCCCAAGAGACATGGTTGACAACTCAGTTGCACAGGACAAAAAAAAAGTGTTTGGAAGTTTGTGTGCTCCAAATGTAGGCCTAACATGTTTTAGTGAAAAGAAACGGTTTTTCAAACTAGCCACTTCGCTCTTTCTAGCCAGTTTCAACTGTCGAGGGCACCGAAGACTATGCGCAAAATGATCCCTGTTGTCAGTGTTGAACAACAGACTTCATTCTGAACCTTCGTTTCGATGAGTAATGTGTACCGAGGTGAGGTGCGATTTTTGGGTTCATTTTCAACACTTGCCCGAGTGCAGGCTTTATTTCGTTTTCAGCTGTATCTACGTAAACTGTATCCTTTGTGTGTATCTAACACACAGCGCACTATCTTGCACCTGTACGCAGACAATGAATGCCGCTTGGGCTGGCAGTTCGCTAGAACAATAAACAGGGACACCGGAGCTATATGTTTTTTCAGGGCACGACTTCTGACTAGAGGATTCAGAAGTCGTCAGCGAGAATGTTACATAAACATGGTCTAAAGAACACAAAATGGCGTCCAAACGAAGCCACAAACGGGTCATAAACCTGACCACATTATTACTATTATGCTTGGACGGCAAACAGGTATGCACAAAACGAAATGTGGGCAAAACGACCTTCGCCAGTGTGCGTTAATTAATTACAAACGATGACTTTGGATCGCTGTATACAAAAGCCGCCTCGTTATGGATATTTCAGCTCAGTGTCAAATGTAGGGCTACCATGGCAACGGCACAAAGCGGGATCGTGTTTTACTCGCAGAAGGAAAATTGCTACTAATTAGCGCCCAGAAACGGAGTATCCTTACATATCGTGTCTATACTGTGACGACCAGAATAGCTCCAAATGTCGTGTGAATAACCAACCGTTTAACCCTGTTTAACCCTAATTGTTTTTGCTCGTTAAACTTTGACAACAATTGAAGGGAAGGACCTGAAGAAGAAATCTCAATCACAACATATACAAATGCCAATGGCGCCTCATATTGGATAAGGTGAAATTTCGGGCATCCCATAAAGAAATACACAGACGCGAGCTTCGATCAATCAAAAACATCCTTACATAATAGCTTAGGCTGATATATGAGATGACCCAAATTTCTTTAAAATGACTTGCCCCAGCCATTTTGCTTGATAGTGTCATTCTGAAATGCCCATGGTTGCTCCCGTTCAACAATATTGCAATACTGCGTTGAAGTTTGTGGGAGCAAAATTCAACGAGTGTTTCAACGCATATATTTTCAGTCCCACAAGCCTTACCGAGCAAACAAACGACTGACAAACGAAAACCCAAACAACCCAACAAGCAAGAAAACAAGCAAACAAAATGTACGATATTGTATGATGTACTTTGTTCACCAGCGATATGCCTGCACTCTAAAACACGCGATGCTAAGAGTTTGACTGTCCACGGTGCCACCACAATCAAGCGTTTTATGGCGAGTTACACTGACTTTCTCGGGTTGGTTTATGTTTTAAATATTTCCCAAACCGGATACACACGTAGAGGGTTGTCGTAACTTACTAGGAAATGGAGCATGGACAAAAGTTGGGTACCTGCGTACAGTACCTTTCATATCTGCACTCTGTTGTCAGGAAGCATGAGAAAATTCCGATATGCAATTCCCATGAACATTTTATTTTCTCACGGGAAACGATCCATGAATCATTCACCCGTCGGAAGAATAGGTCCCCCAAAATAATCCAAACGCGGCCGTTGATGCGCTAAAATCTGAAGCCCAGTGCGGTGGCACGTCTGTTATGTACAACCCGGTATTCATTTGCTTGTCGTTATGACTCAACCGATTTTTGTCGCGACAAAGAGCCAAAAAAATACAACCCATCACGGCTCTTCGGCCCGTCATTTTGCTGCGTTGGCCCCGCGGGCTTGTCGTCCTATCCTCCGCGTTTTTTTTTCAAAGATTGGCACCATTAATTTTACTCGTTGTGCCGGCATCTATAATGCGTGTTGTAACACTGCCATTGTGTGGAGTTTTCCGTCGGTTAAAAATCAATTCCAATTTTTTTCTTGTGATTTCCTGTTTTTTTTTTCCCGTAAGGCCTTCCGTCGGTGATGGATTGATGTTACTGAAGCGACTGTAGACGCTCCAGGAGGCGCGGCCCCCGGACGATCATTCAGTGGAATTTGGGGTAACAAATTGATACGGAAAATTTCACTACGTGCGCCTTTTATTACCTAACAAAAAATAAACAATTGATGACGGAAGGCGCGGAGGTGACTTGCTTCGAAGGCAAAATTCCTTCCACGGGCACAAATAGCGTGTGCTCTGATTGGCGTCAAATGACGTCAGAGCTTGTCCAGAATGGGGAAGGCTTCGCAACGCTAGTCCGTTTTCTTGAAATGGACTAAGAGCTGGGGTTCCAGACGCACCCTTTAACGTTCCAGCCGCACTGACACGTGTTCTCCTTTAACGCCGGTACCCCGAGTGTTCCATCCCATCAAACTCGTTGACGAAAGAGGAACCAATCAAAATCATAAAATTAAAGGTCTTTTGAAGCCGTGTGATATGAGTCGAATTACGGCAACTGAATATGAGTTGGGCCTTGGGGTCGTTGGTCGCCTTTCACATCGACAGCTACCGGAACCGGTATTCAGAGCAAAGCAAGAATATGAGGGATGGTGTAGCCTATTTTATTAAGCTTTTCTTCCGCAGTTGAGAATAACAGTTTGGGTCTGTAGCACAGAAGATATATCTGCATGGCGTTCGGTAATTTTGAACACCATGAAAGCTAATAACGTTTTTCTTAGCCCGAGGCACTGGATATTAACGTTATTGCTGTAGCATGGAACTCTGGGAATCATCAAGGGAAGAATCACGAAGAAAGAAAGGAAAACCTGTAGCGGTTGAGGAGAATGACGCAAGATTCTCAATCACCTGCTGTTGGAGAATTGCACTTGTTGATGTTGGATGATAACCTTTTATGCAATTTAAATCATGAAATGCTAAAAGAAACCGCATAACCTTTCACCACTTGGTCCCCTTCTAAAGCCTTCCCTCGAAAAACAAAAGTATTAGTCATTTCCCCAAGTGGTTGAACAAGACAGTTCTTTCGAAACGACTTTTAACCGCCTTATGGTTTCCAGTTTTGGTGATAAACGTGTGAGTACTCGGTATTGAAAAAAAAAAATTCATGTACATGTACATAATGGAGACAAATGGTATTCCAATTCTCGCCGGACAGCTGTTCTCACGACGGAAGTCCCGAGACGTGGCTGTTGTTACAGATCACGGCAGACGCTGAAGGGCTTGGCCCCCGCTTGCAGGGGTCTCATCTCTGGAAACGAGCGGCACGGAAATGACGCGATGGCGAGCTCTCCCGAGGTCACATCACTGTCTCGTCTGTGGTCTGACAACCCATCTCGTTAGACAGTTGAAGACAGATGACAGGCAGTTTGGTGACGGGGAAGGGAAAAAATCCAGGCTTTGAGGAAACAGAATCCCCTTATTTGGTCTGGGAGATCTTGTACACACTTATACAAAAATCCCATGATGACCCATGATGTCTGTGAGTAGTTTTTTCGGCATCTTTGATGCACGTGCGTCGCTAGAATCCGACCCTGCCCTAACCACCGCGGGAGCGATTCCGCGCCGGCTTGGGCACCGGTGCGGTACGTCACTAGGGACTCCTTAATTTGGGGAAAAGGAGGAGTTCTGGACACTAAACCGACAGAGCCATTTTGTTTTCGGTTTTGTCCTTCCGCTAAAATCCTCGCCAAGCGGCTGTCGGTAGTTTCGAAAGACAGAGTTCTCCAGTAATCATCGTTGATGTTGGATCAGCGATAGAATCCGCACGGTAATATTCCCACTGGTGCTAATGTAGGACTCGATGAGTCACGACTTTTACCGATTATAGCCCGCTGAATCTGCATCAGTTCCAACATACTTAAAGAGATGCCGGTGCGCGTGAGAACTACCAAAAAAGCAAAACAACAAAAACAAAAAACATACCTGCTTGAAGTTTGGAAGGAGTCGCTTCAGTTCCTTTAAGCTGTGGCCTATTCTTTCGCGACTTCTCTTTTCGACAGCTCGACGAAGAGTCGATGCATCCTAAAACAAAATCACGTGCAAACTTATCAGATAACCATGAAACAGAAACCAGTGAGAAATGTCGCAATCTTTGTCAATTCTTTATCATGACTGCGTCAGCAGGCAGTTGTCAGGTATGAGAGGCTGAGACGTTTTATGTATCATTACTGACTAATGCATATTGCAATGGGAGACTTTGGCAGCCTTGTGGCAGCAAACAAATCGGTCCTTTGGCAGAGTATTGGGCATGCTCAGAACTGTGCACGCATACTCAGACCTGGCAAAAATATCTCCCACTGACTGTGAAGATCCACAACACACAACTTAGTTCCTCGATTTTGAACTTCTGAACATGAATTTAGCTCTAGGAGCCCACGGTAAATATCACGCATCTTCTAGGTGTGTAGAGACATTTCATTAAGTGCAAAGTCGCTTCGCTTGTCAGGCGACCAATATTACTTTTGATGCAGCGGTATATTATTCTCACTGACTTCACAAGTCACTTAACCTAGGTATGTGCTCATGAATTAGAAACATCCAAGCATTTGTGATTGGCCCTTTATTCCTCAATGACTGGATCAGCTATGACTGGACTCACTGAGTTTCGCCCGAAATAGTTTGCTTTGAAACTCCAAACAGTAATGTTGATTGCGTATGATACCGTACGCTGTATTGGGTACTCGTAAGTGTAGAGCGCAGAAACACATCGGAGAGTGCCAACCAGTTACGTAACCATTCGTTCCCCTTCTTAAGCATCCGTGATTTGTTGAAACCATAAAGCAAAGGTGCAACCACAGCGTATTTCTTTCTACATGCATGAATGAAGTGTGTCACCCGGAGTTATTAGAGAACTTGTGAGCGAAGCATACAGCATTCCTGGCTCATGGTCCATATCATATGGAAAGAGTTGACTGAGGGCCAATACATGTATACACAGGCCTGTTCGTCAGGATGACTTTAGAACTGGTCCTTTTTATAGCTCCATGGTCTAACGAGAAAAAAAATGTGGTCTTTGCAGAAAGACAGATCATAAGCTACCAGAGATTTTGTTCCATCTTTGGGCAGAAAAATATGAAACGAAACATTCGGCATACTTGCATGACAATAACTCTAAACCGCTCATCTTGAGTCTTTTGAATGTAAAAAGTGGAGCCCGGGGCGCATTTGATAAGTGGACGTTCACGTATTCATTAACCTCCCCGACATCTCCATTTCGAGATACGGCACATTAACAAGATCACATGGGCCTTCCTCATTATTTTGCGACTTTCAACTGGCATTGTTCCCCCCAACAAGTTATTAGGCAGCTCGGCATTCGTGTCTTGACTCGCCCAACAACGCGGCCCGCCTCAAGGGAGCTTCGGGTAGACTCGAATCAATCCTTCAACGGGCCCAGTCCACACAACGCCACCAACTCGACGGCAAAAAAGTGAACTAGGAATACATGTACACGGTACCAAGTCTAAACTGTGGCAGAGGAATACAACCTAAGATTAAGAAGTACATGTTATATGCCTACACATTTCTTCTTGTTCAGACATGATCTGAAACAAAGGTTCTTTCAACTGAGATGCAAAACGTGGATTTCGGTTAGAAAACATGACAACTCGTCGCCATATTGTCACCCACAAGGTGGTTTATTCCCATCGAACAAAATGGTTTTGGGAAACTGATTTACAGAAGAGAACAGACTATAGAGCGTAACTGTATGTAAAACAGAGGCTGGATGGTTTGAGAACTAGCATGGTAAAAATGTAAGAAAAGCTTATGCAATTTTCGGAAGTGAGACAATAAATATTTCAAAAAACGATGATGCTAAACTCCACGATTTTATTTCCAATTAAAAGAAACGATGTGCTGGTAAGATAACAAACATGCTTACCAAAATGTTTGAACCTTTATATTCAGTACCAATACAAGCCCAGTTCCACACATTAAATTCTAAAGGAGGCAGCTTTTCTTGAATTGGTAGTGCGCTGCACGTTGAAAATGATTAATTTATTTAGTGCAAACTACTTTGAGCAACACACTCGATTTCTAAAATGCCACGAGGCAACACTGAGCATACAAATTGCCACCAATTTAAGCATAAGTTGATTACTCATTCATGGGATGCGGCGCGACATCGACAGCGCCCGCGAAGATCTCCGCAGCAATGCCACAGTTGGGACTTACATGTCCTGTTTTTCGTTGTCAAAATCATGATTCATCCATGGGTCATTCATACATCGCGCCACCGGGCAATGCGATCATAATTAAGTCCTTTGACTTCAATAAAACGGCATGGCCTCGCTGACGGTACATGTACTCACCCTCTGTGTTCGCCGCATACTTTCTGTGCAGTGATGATATCTCGTCTTCTGGCCAGGCTATAATAAAGTCATCTCAGCAAGTATGGGAATTTCTTTCGCGAAAATACTTGGTTGATCTGCAGATTAGATTAAAATTGAGCAGACCGCATTAACACAACATATTTTCAAACACACCACCGCTTTAGAACCTTGTGCAAATTTTGACACCTGATACACACACATGAAATTGCACGAGTGGTCATACAATCTTGGATTTTCTCTCGAACACGATACTGGCTGATTGAGAGCCTCACCTATTTTCCTGCGCAAAATGAACTGTAAATTGCAGTCTCTGCCATCTCCTGTGTATTAAAGCCTTCATCTAAATGCACGATAGTGACAGAAACACCGACACTTCTCAAAATAATTTACCGCACTGATGAACATGTGCGGGTTGTACAGAATACGACAGGAGCTGTAGGTCGGCGCTGTGTGATTCACCGTTGAACACGCAGTCTGGCCCGACCTGCGCTATCTCGACGTCATATCGCCCAACCGGCAGCTGTGTTAACATTACCCGACCGTGTCAGCCCCGTATAAACTAAATAAGAGAAGCTCGCTGAACAAGACAAACAACGAAAGAGAAAAAAAAACACGCCGAAAATATGGCCAGTTTTTAACCCCCGTCTCACTCGCGAACAGTTCTGTGTACCCGTCCCAGATTTAAAAAAAATTGAGATATCTAAACAACGGGGTAGAAAAAAAACAAGCCCCGGAACACAAGTACAATTAAACGTGGATTTATCACGCGGGGAATCAAAAATAAATATCAGTCGGGAAGAAATAAAACGACATAATAATTACCGTGTAGCTCCACTTGAACCGGGGAAGTAGCCAAGTGTATTTCCATTCATGTCCTTTCCATATCTGATAGCTGGTAGATACAATTTTTAAAAAATTTATCTCCCTGCGAAGTAACAATTGGCGTGGCACTTCTTTGGAAGCCCGTGCTATGCTGTCTGCCTATTCCGGTTAGACGCGGCGAAGCGATTCAGAGAGAGAACCCGAAATGATCTTTGTTCCACGAGCAGGATTCCTCAGAGGAATTTTCCCTTGTAGACAAAAAACTCAACACCGTCAGAACGTGAAGATCGACTTAAAGGTGGCACGATCGTTAAGAAGAAATGTCTTGCCAGTTCCGGGGGTCGTCCCGCTTGCCCCGCACGCTTTTACCCCCTCTTCTCTCCTTTTTTCTTTTAATCCGGGGTGTCTCCAAGGTGGTTTTTCTGCCAGGCGGGTGGAGTGAATTGAGGGGTGCACTGGAGAGGGCCAGCAACAGGGATCTCTCTGCATTTAGGGGCCCGGCACTCAGACACCAACACAGAACCCGCGGCTCGCGAGCCAGACGCCAAGCCGAGGCGCGGGAACTGACCAATGGCAGGGCTCGTAGGGCCTCGGCAGCACGTGCAGCCAGGTGATTGACGCGTGGGGGGCTCGTCAATGAGACTTGTACAAAACGACTGGGCGCTCTCTGCGTGCGTGACCTAGCCCCGCCACAAAAGAATGGCTGGGGGCGTGGTTTCCACCGCACTTTGTGTGAAAAAAAATATATATCAGTACCGTGGATGAAAGGAGACGTCTTCAAGTTGCAACACGAACTTTAGTGGCTTCTCTCTTGAGAGAGGGTCCATGTTTTAACCCATAAAAATTGACCTTGAAGATCGGTGCTGCCGTATTAAAGGTACAATACAAGTTACATGCGAGAACAAAGAATGCAATCGCCCAATGGAATTATTTTCAAACAAGGCTCTACTTAGTAAAAAAAAATACACCTTTAAGTTCGGAACTGGCTTGTACATGTACATTCCTTAACACAAACATGAAGGCAAATGCCTTAACACTGGAAGAAATGTATATATATACATGTATATATGCCGGCCTGCAAACTGGGTTTTGTTTGCCCATGTAAAAGAATATCGCAACAAAGCAATCTTAGCAAGCTTAGTGGTGCGAATCATTCTAACCGGCTGATAAAAATAGACTCCACAAACGGGTTGTTTCTGAAATCATTGTGAACAGCAAACCTTTGCTAGCCTCAAGGTAACCTCTCCGAAAGGAGAGCCAAGAACAATGGTTTCAGGGGAAAAAACAGCTGTGCGCAGTGTAAGAGAGTTACGCTGTAGCAAACTTTCTTTGCGTTTCTGAATTAAATGGAATCTGTTTAGTCGTGTGCATGCAGTCAGTTAAGCGAAACGCATTAGGCCTGCACGCGGCTGTGTCAGCATTAATTATGAACGACACAAAATGGCGCGTTTGGACCTGTAGCAGTTGGGAACATCACCATACGAAAAAAACCCTTTGTGCTTGTCCCGGAAACTGGCAAAATGCATGGATGATCTTTGTGAAGACAAATCTAGGTACCCATAGTACACCTGCTGCTGTAAAAAAAAAAATCTGCAGCAAGCCTGGCAAGTCACCATATTTACTGTATATAGAGGGGGTGTATTTGATGATTTTCAATTTCGTATCTATTCAGACATTTCAAGATTCTTTAAGATATGAGACCACAATCATACCATAGAGCTACAAACCCACAACAGTTCAACTTCCCCTGCCTTACCGCATTGGTGTATCCAGGGCTTGAATCCAGGGAAGTAAATGGGGATCTTTTTGTCCGTCAATAATTGTTTTCTTCTGAAAAAGAATCCACCCCCACATCTACACCCACAAAGTGATAATAGTGCCTTTTCCAAAGTGTTGGTACTTTTCAATTCCTAAACAGAAATGGGCACATGTCGAGGGGGGGGGCTTCCCCTCTGCACCTGTGCAACCTTTCTAGTTGGGACACCTCTGTATAGTGAAATCGTTATTTGAAGCATAGTGTACCAATTTGTATGTATAGGTTTGAAAATCAACCTGAAAAGCTAACGAACCCTTTGAACATCTGGGGGTGGGGCAAAGTTTTACATTTTACGAGGTTTTGCCACAGGGCCAAAGCGAGAACTTTCCCAAACTAGTCAGAAAGCGGTCAAGTGACTTTCCCCGGGTTTAAGAGAGACACAATTATTTTGAAATCTTTGATTTATTTATTTTAAACGGGAATGTATTTTTCCTCCTTCTGGCAACCACGCTACATTCATCATCGTCTTAGGCCTACATAAAAAATGTCTCAGGTCCTATTTTCTACAGAAGAAAGTGGAACCGCCTCCTGCGTTCCCGAAAGAAAACGATATAGGCCTATATCCACTAGCTAACTACAGGATCACTTTTGTCATGCTGATTGCATCCGCCGAATTTTGGGGGAACAATAGCCCGGCTCTTTCGTTGTCACCGGGCTCGTCGCATGCCGTTATGTCTCAGACACGTGCGGGCCCATTGTCCACCGGCTCAACGAGCACAATGACGTATGATCTTGGCCGGCTGAGGGGGCCAGGTGCACGCTGGCCCGGGTATTCCGGGCCACTGGTGTTTGCTCGTCTCTTTTGTTCCGGCATCAAAAACATGTATCTGTTAGGCGTTTTGTGCCAAGTATGCCGTCAGTGCCCCCCATCTTTTTTTTTATTTTACAAAGATGACTTATAAAAGAAATGCATCGATTTTTTCCTTCTATGGCATCAGTGCTACGTTCGGAATTTGTTTAAATTAATGTAAAAGCGAGAGACACACAGAGACGCCAATAATACCCGTTAACAACTCTCCCAAGTGAGTTCATTTATTTTTTTTTCCTTTCTTTTTCGGGGGGAGGGACAGGCGAACTGACCTCTAAAAGCAGGTGATAGAGCTACAAAAACATTGTTTTGTTTGATATTTCCTGCAAGTGAATGCAAAAAGCGATTGATTCCCCCCTGTCCAATCCCAGTAAAAGTGTAGGATGCACAAGCCGAATTGCTAAAGAGTGATATAAATATCCTACTCAAACTCTAATAAACATTGCAAACAAGCCAAATTTTTTTTTAAACGTCCAGGGAAAAAAGGTATAAAGTTTAAAACTAAGGGTACTATAGTGCATGCGGTCATAGCAGTTTCCTACCAGCATATCTGTCCCATACGCGGCGGCCGAGCAAAAGTGTTTACAGGAAAATCATCCTACTTCCCCCCCTATTCAAATTCAATCCACCTTGCCGGAGCTTGTGCATGTAAATAGGCCCGAGAGATTGCGAACCACGTGTTGTCTCCTAAGCGTGCGTGTTACATAACCCTCGTAATAAACAAAACCATTGTTGACAGTCGAGCCATGCATTGGCGCGAGCGAGGGGAGGCCTCAACCCGTCGACGTCAGCGGTGGTGCTCGCCACAAGACGCGTGCCAGGGGGTATGGCGGTTTACCTTATCTCCTCCAACACACAGGGAGTCTCAATGCACATGCAGATGGTTGTCTTCTGGTCTTGAGAGAATTCAGCTTCGAAATTATGGGAGCGTAGAAATAACACTTGGAGCTTTTCATATCTTATTGTTTAACAAAAGAGACAAATTGGTCTGTCTTTTCTTTTGAGCAGGAAACGTTTCATTGTAATGCTGCAGGACTGAAGAGTGCGACTTGGGGCCCGGTCTGCTAATATTGGGGCCACATCACTGTCAAATACACTCGTAAAATGTGCATTCATTTTGCGCTCACTTTCTGAGATATTGACGCAAATTGCATTTCCAGGAATAGGCCTACGTTGCCTAAACTGCAGGGTATGTTATAGTCCCGGTTCAAGGATTTCCTCTGAAATCATGTCCCTTCCACTTGACCCAGACGTCTGGGTTTCTTCAAATGTATTCAAAATGAGAGAGAGAGAAAAAAAAACGGTATTCACAAATTATTTCTTTTTATCGTGGAATTGGGATTATTTCTGAGAAGAGTGCGCCCCCATCGGCAGAATTCTTAAATTTTGGGTTGAGGGCACTGATCTCTATTACAATATAATAGAGATCAGTGGTTGAGGGGTACAGACATGATTTAATTAACAGGAAATCATGGAACTGGAACTATAACATACCCTGCAGTTTAGGCAATGTATATACCTGGAATTGAATGCGCTTTTAGCAAAATGCAGGGCCTTTGGAACTGAATCTCTCTGTCCAATTGCGTATTTAATTTATATTTTGCTGTTTCTATTTATAGGGGCTTTTAGGTGGCACTGCCCTGTTTTGTGTATTATGTTTATATATTTTTCATATTCATGTCATTCCGACAAGAAAGTTGATTTTACATTTTATTTCTTGAATGTGAATAGTGTTGTTTCAGTTCATGATAGAACTGAGGCCAGTTCGTAGTACAGGCGAATGTTGTTATTATTATTATCAATAATTTCAGGTAACGGATTCCTAAAAAGGGCCCTAAGGACTGTAGCTTGAAAGCCTGAAGAAACCTGTTGAGTGGAAAAAATGAGAAGCAGTTACAGTTTTAGAGGTGGGAGGAAAACCTCAGAGGAATATTCTGGGTAAAGGTCAAGGAATCAGGTGGGGACTGAAAACCCAATCCACATGTGGACCGGGTCGGGATTCGAACCCGCGCTGCACTGAGGTGGAAGGCGAGGAAAGAACCACTACGCCAACCTGACTCCCCAGTCTCGGTCTACAAGTCTGAACGTGGAAGTGAATTTGAGGTCACGAAAGATTAGCAGTAAACTTCGCTTGAGTCGTAATTTGTTAAAGTTTGGCGCATTTGCGGAGTATTGGAGTATTGACGTCCCGATTCGCGTTTAGTGTTCGAATGAACAGTGGCGTAGCTAGGATTTTACCGGGGGTTGGGCACAAAGGGGGCACCGGCATCTTATGGGGGAAGGTTACCCGCTTTCAATGGTGTGGTTTTTTTGGGGGGGGGCATGTTTTGTTAGCCTTGTTCAATATCCATTCATCCGGTTTTTTTTTAGGGTGGGGGGCACCCTGGGGGCATCGGGAATTTGTGGGGTGAACGTGCCTCCCGTGGCTACGCCACTAGGTATGAACCAGCCATTGGAATCTCGTGAGAAACGTTTTATCACAAAATGTATCCCACCAATCCAAAAACACAGGCTGAATGGCTTCTGTGCTGTTGGCTGGAAAATGGCTCCAGTACAGGCACGAACAATACAAATTCCACAAAAAAATCACTGCTCAGTAACTACCAGACAAGAAATTAAATGGATAATGCCATACAAAATGGCCACGTTTTGTCACAGATCTGATGTCAGGCTATTACAGTTTTCATCAGCCCTCTGTCAATCAAAATGAAATGCAACAATATGGAATTAAAGGTTGTCATCTGCTCTGGGCAACCTTGACATTACTGTCAGCTGGGCGATCCGTACTTAACCCAGATAATTCAACGTCACGTGTACATCGCACGTCTGAACACAATGCCACAACTTTAACTTTCGATTAAAGGAAGGTCCACAGAAGTCACCTGTAAAATTCTGGGTAAAATTAACAGCTGCATTGGCTTCAAGTTGCGATACCACACGCACCGTTTCTTTCCATGCAAAATAATGTCGTTGCCCGAAGAAAAGAGTTCTCTGTGCTAGACCAAGAGAGGGCGCAATTATCCTAGCAACGGAGGCCCCTTTGGTAGTAACTGCGCATCGCTGGTTCGCGAACGACTATGAAATACAAGCGTTGTAGTCACATCGCTACCAACAAATTGAGCACTCCAGACCACATGGCTTTTTTTCCACCGATGAGGGGGCGCTCCTGTTCAGGACGGATTCGCAACGCTGACTGATCCCTAAAACTTTAACCTCAAACGTCGGTAAACATCAGAAGAAGGACTCCGTGTGTGGACCGTAACTTTTATCTTCTTTTGTTACAAACGTTCATAAAAATCATGGGCCAACTGTGCGTGCAAAATCAAATTCTAGCGTTCGTCCACATTCAAATTTTCCACCAAGTAAAATTAGAAAAATACTGAGGAAAGAAAACCAAATGCAGATGTCGTCGAATTTGGTTTCTTTGCTGTTTTATCACAAAACGACATGACGATGATGCATACATACATTTGAGCTCGGATAAACACTGTGCAACAGCATTACGTTTATCCAACTTAAAGAAAATTACAACATGCACTCTAACGTGTTGAAGAATTTTTTCCCCAGACTTGTTTAAGTTGGCAGACAGGACAAACTCCCACGAATTCAGGCAAAATCAAATCTTGTGAGTGCACCAATTGAACGCACAACTCCGCAGAAATCAGTGAGTAGACCTCACACGGCAAGCCATTTTAAACCGTGTTCCCTGAATCAATCTTATTCAATGCAATCTGTTGAACGGGGTGGTGCCAGACTTGTTTGGGTTCCATGCCTAAGTTAACTTAAACAATTGTGGCTTAAACATTTAAATACAATTAGTCACAATTTTGAAATCATTCATCAGCATAAACGACATTAGTTTGTGTTAAAATTTTAGTTCACTGATTCAATTTCTATTCTCAGGTTTCCAAAATTAAAGTTAACAAATTCAACTTGTGAATTAGGACAATAAGCTCTATCAGATAATTTAACACCTTCAACTTGAAATTCTGTCAACAATCGATCGACATACCCGAAAGGAAAGGGACGGATGACCATACTTGAAAACAGAATGACACAAATCCTCCCCAACTTTAAATGGACCAGCCCATGAAAAGTGTCTCCTATTCAAAAAATCAGTAACACTTCTCACCAGATGAAATGTAAAGAAGTACAGCTACACAGATATATGAAGTAAAGGTAGTAACATACTCAGCGTTCCTCAAGATAAGGTCAAATCGTGCATGTCTCCCTTTTTTATAAAGAAATACATTATACCACTCGCAGGAATCGCCAAAAAATAAATAATATCGCTGATATTTAACTTCAACAAACTGTGACATGAAGTATGGACATCTATTTCAAAATAGATGATCCATACTTCATGTCTACGAAAAAAATGCATCCAGTCTGGCCAACTTTACACCAACTCGACGCCTGAGAACTCAGATAACCTTTGAAACATTCTTCAAGAATGTAAGTACAATGGCTATTATACCCAAACGTTTAAGAAGCTGCTGTCTGGAAACTGGGCAACTATCACGACACTTGTAAATTTTTACTAACACTTATGTTACATAATATGCGGCCCTCATAACTTATTTCTGGTTGAGTACCAGATCGAGTCTGACCTCAACAATGAAAAAAACTCTCGGCTCCTTCGCAATTTATGTCGAGGCCCAATTTCTAAGCTTCTGTGTAAAAGGAATGGTTGAAAACCACACCCAATGCCGCCCAGGGTACACCAAAATGTGGCCTGCTCTCTTTCCCCCAACTGCCTTGAAGTTTCTCGGGAAAACGTCTTACTCTATCACCCACTGTTACAGCTGTCCTACATTATAAAAACCTAAAATCCGTTCAACCTGAAAGAAACACCAACCCCCCAGCTTTTTTACACTATCAAAAACAGTAATATGACTAGCACAGAAAATGTACAAGACAAGTTAAAACACGATCACTTACTACGTCAGATATACATTTAAACCAACGATACAATTGTACATGTGACCACCTGGGTAAAAAGAAGAAGTTAAACTGAAGGTCAGGCTTCACCCTTGCCTATCATGTCAAATTTTTCCTTTCGATTTCTTTTGTCAAGAAAGAAAAAAGGAAAGAGAAAAATAAACACTGCTCAGAATGTCCTACAAACAACTAATAAGAATATGTGGGAGGGTTAACAGAGCACGGAGGCGGAATATGTGGGAGGGTTGGCAGAGCGCGGAGGCGGAATATGTGGGACGGTTAACAAGCACAGAGGCGGAGTATGTGGGAGGGTTAACAGAGCACGGAGGCTGTGCTGTCGTAGTTATTAAAAAAAACTTAAATGTTTCCGGGGTAGGGTAGAATAAATGGATGATGGAAGCACACTTGAAATGCATGAGGGAAATTGAAGAAAAACCTCCACGTTAAATCTACACATTCTGCCAGAAAGAATTCTGGGAAAAGTAGCAAGTACACAGGATGTGAGGCAGCACTGAATGTTTGCCAGGAGCATGCTTCCACGCGTGTGGCTACTTGTGAACTCCAAAAACACAAAATTATGACTTTGAATGATACTCCAGGCCCAGAAATAGGATTTAGGAGTGTTGGTGCAGAAATGCTCGCAGGGTGACGACAACAAAATGGTCCATGAGAATTTTCGTCCACCTTGCAGAGGATGTGATAAAGGAGTGTGATTCCAAAACAAAACAAAAACAAGGCTGGAGAAAAGACTATGAGCTCATCATGAGAGATGGTCGGCTTGTTACCACGAGAGGATATGGCAGGATATGCACGATTTCCCAAATACTGACAAAAACTGGAACGTATATTTAAAAAACCCTACATCAGCTAACACTTTGGCCGGCTAAGACAACTTGATATTGCTTAAAAGTTTGGTATCTACAATAGTCATAATACTGACAATTACAATAAATCTGTCAATGGTCTTCGTGCATGAATTTGTCTACAGGGATAGAACTATCTATGACATATGCTTAAGTGCGAGTTAAAGTGCCCATCCACAGGTGATGAGTAGCCTTCATATCATCCCAAGATACAATGGGTCTGTGCAGATTATGGTGAAAAATCGAAGTGCCTTCTTTCACGTCACTGGTATATGCCCCCCCCCAGTACAAGTGCTAGTAATCTTCACCGGTTCCAAAAAGTAGTCAGCATGGGTGCCACCTACAATTCATGCATGCAGGCCATTAAGCTCTACAAATCTGAGATCTATGCATGGATGGACATGAATAACAGCTAGATTAAGCTCATTGCCGACAAAATTCTAACCACTCTTTCTATCAAGAATCAGTTCCTACTTTTGCACACATTAAAAGGACCTGAGTACGAGGATTTCTATCAGATTCGCTTATTTCCAGACACAGGCTTAAAGTATGAAAATAAAATCTGTATGAAACACACAATCAATGCGTTTCATTTGCAAAACAAGGAGGGAAGGGTTTGCAGGTGGGAGGAAACGTATATCTACGTGTGTAAACAGCGCCCTCTCCAGGTCATTCCCACCTCAAAACTCTAACAGCTACTGTAAACCAAAAATCTTACAGCAAAAATATAAACGAATATAAAATGAGGTTTGCGAAATATTACAGGAAACTATCTTAAAGCTCCCCAATTCAAACAAAACTAAACCTGCTGAAAAGACTTTCAATTACTTGTGAACCCCTTTTTCCATACTTCTCAGCCATCTGGCATACATGTAGTTCTGACAGCATTGTCCAACACACTTTACCTTCACACAAAAAAATGATTTCATATAAATAGACACAAAAATAAAATCTTCAAATCATAACGATTCATTTTCTACTTCTAGTTGTCACAAATAGCTATTTACTGATTTGGGTCGGAATATACCTCAAATAGGAACTCCTTTTTTTTGAGACATATCCGATTTGCGAGAAACAAACAGTGATTCTACAACTCTAAAATTTGCTGAAGTTACAACAGTTTTTTTTTAACTACTAGCAACACATTAAATTTCAATAGTCATACATAATTATATACAGTTCAGGAAAGGAATTAAGTTGCTAGAAGATGCATTAACAATGCAAATATATATAAGACACGGTTATGGAGGTACATGTATGTCTGAGTGCAGATTTCCCCACTAAATCTCTGTCAGAAAGCATGAAGCTCAACTTCATGTTTCTAGGTGACAAAACAAGTGAGGGGGTACATTCTTTTCACCGAGAGATTCCATTTTGGGGGGGGGTTGATTTTTGTCTACAATCTCCATGTGAAAGATCTGGGTAGTTTGTTGGCCGTTGTGGGCTGTATATTAGAGTGAAGCTGTGCACTGGTTCCCGATTGTCCATTTGGAATGTGTGTAGGGAACCAGTGTGGACCACTCCAATCTCACACAACAAAAATACTTTACAAATGGAGTGGTAACATGGAGAAAAGTGTCTTTGCTTCAAGCAACCCATGGCCAATACAGACTTTTCACACAGCAATCTGTAGTTACATGCAACTCCAATACACGCAAATAAATTTACCTGCACCACACGAACTCTGGAAAGTGCCCTCGCTTGGTTCTTGAGGCTTATTAAGTACGGATCCCAGAGAGAGACACACACAAACTATCCAGATTGTTGGGAATTCTAAATCGACGCTTATTTTCTCAAACTAGCACACTGTGTCATTTGGTTTACATGAGAAAGGGAGTATGACGCCAGGTCTCAGACTGGCTCATGGCATATTTGGGCATTGGCCTCGGGTGGTTTCATCTCGTTCATTATTTTGGATTGTTCCAAAGAGTTGCTTCTGCTTACTACAGAGGGCTTTCATCGGCAGCCATGTTGGAGTACAGTTTCGCATAAATTAACTCCATTAAACATCTCCTAGCCAAACCTGCGCATGTTGGAAGGCGGCAAAGACTAGCTTGCTCCCAGCATGGCTCCTTGTAAAAACCTCACATTATCTGATACAGGAAACCAGCAGTGCTCCGAGTTCCTTCCTGGGTAGGTGGGGGAGGGTGCTGTTTGAGGGGAGGGGGGGGTGAGTTTGGGGGTTGTATGGTGGGCCTCACTTGTCAAACATGATGTCAGGGTTTTCCACCAGGATCTCCACCACTTTTTTCTGGTATGTCAGCAGGTAGAGGTTGTCCATGATGGTCTGGTCGTTGGCCTCTCTCAACAGCGTCGGGCCAAAGACGATGCCCACATTCTCCGCGCTCATCTTGTTCTGCTCCTTGTGCTGAACCACTCTTGAGGGAGAAATAAAAAAAGGGGAGACTTTACGGTACAGTGCTCCACAGTGGCATAACTAACACGGGGGGTTCTTTAGCAGAGTTGGAGTTGAATCCCTCACAAGTCCCTTCATGAGACTAGTCGTGAGTAACAGTTTGAACAAGGATAAAGGAATGCTTTTGCCACCGTTTGTTTGAATAGCTTGTGACGTGAGTAAAGACTGAATGACTTGTGTGGACTTCACTACACCACTGCCCTTCTGAATAGTCATCGATCATTCGCGCCCAAGAGGCCATCTGCCAAGTTGATGGTCGCCTCCCTATATACTGTGCTACAGTGTACCATCCACACAACAATGATTATACAACACAAGGGAGAGACACATTAAACACTCTCTGAATGCATAAACTTCAAATGGTCCTGTGCGGCACAAACTGCGTCACAGGTGGTAAAAGTTACCCATGTAACAAGGACACCATCACAAATTGTGCCCAACCTGATGTAATGACCCAGCAGCAGAATGCCGCACCAAGTAATGCATAACCAATTCTTTTATCCTGACAAGCACAAAACCAAATACACTCGAACATGTCCTACTGACGGTGACGACACTCAAAAGTTTGCGAAGCATGGACGAGGGCAGCAGTCACTGCATGACCCCTGATCTCAGTGCTCATGCTTCTTTCTGTTTGAGACCAACAGAGGACGCCCTTACCTATTGAGGTGGTTGATGAGATGTTTCAGTGTGTGGTAGTGGGCTGGCTTGATGTTGTACAACTCACTCATTGCGTCGTGCAAGGCCTCTAACCTCTCTGTGGCGTTGACGATTTCTGCACACAACCAAAGAAAAACAGGAATTCATTTTTGAAAAAGTGGGAAAAAATATGAGTGGTTAATTACACTAAAACAGCAACTCGTAATTCATAAGCCCCTTAACCTTCAAAGAATTGGATTACTTTGGCCCGTGTCACAGAAGGGGTGGGGCAGGGTGATTCTGCCCCCCCCCCCCGAATTTGGCTTTGGCAAACTCAATTCTTTTGAAACTTCAGATGCAAGTAAAGACACTCTTTATCACAGCAAACGATTGAAGTTTGAATGCAATCCGACATACAGTTTTGCTGTTACAGCCACTTAAAGTTCAAGGTTACATGACAACCAGTCCACATACGATGAGCACCACAGTGGAAAAGTATAAATTTTTGGCTGACCTGTCTCAGAAAAATTGGGAGCTGAGCAACCACGGTATGTTTGAGTTTCACACAATTGATGTCAAACTGACTGCAAAGAGTTACTCTAGAATACATAGAGGCTCAGCTCCTAAAAAAAAGCACTGCCATGATACTGGGCAAAAGTATCGGGGGGGCAGAATCGGCCCTCAGCTCTTTCAGCTCTTTCAGAGATCCCACATCTTGGAATTTTTATTTATAAAGTACACATATCTACCAGTCTTGGTGCTCAAGGTGATAAATCATCATTACCCCTGCTCATCGTGCCTTCAAAATATTTCAACGGCTATCTTGAGTGAACAGCTCAATGTTGTTTGACTGATGTTGTTTGGTTGATCCAAACACAATGGGTATCCCTGCTCTCACAGGTATCTATTACATGTACTCCTGGGGAAGGGGGGTTATTGTGACAAAATGTCCTGCCCAAGGACACAAATACAGCCAACGGCATGGGCTGGGTTTGAAACCAAGAACCTGCAGAATACCCGTAGGATTTGGAGTTCTATGCCTTAAGCTGCAACACTCTTCAGGAACTGTGAACAAGGATACTGGAAAATATTGCTACAGGACTTGATTCTGGCCTTTGGGACCAAATACCGACACTGACAAAGCTTTAGATTACAAGGTCAAAAACAAATCCGTCACGGGCTAACCACTATTCCAATTCCCCGTATGGTCACACACAACACCGGATGAACGACAACCAAGAATCCCCTTTATCACAGCCCGTTTGAACAGCATGTGTCTCAACTGGTGACTGGCTCCGTTGCCGGCGGCTCAGTCACTGACTTGTATGAGGTTTAACTACAAGTACAAGACAGGCCGAGTCGGTACTCACTGGCTGCCATCATGAAGCGGTCGTACATCTCAAATGGGACAAGGGGGATGGGTAACTGCCTCAAGTACATCTTGAGCGCTCCGGAGATCACGTTGATGTCGGGGAAGTCCTTGACGCTGATCTTGGCACTGGCCCCATCTGGACAGAACGTGGGAAAAAATCAACCGAACCATTACCAACGAGGCACACGTGCTTAAGTACCATACCATCAGAGCTAGAGTGCTCAATGCTTTCTTCACTGCAGCAGTTTCAGATGTGAAGGCACAAAAAAACTTATCTGGGCACCACTGGAAACTTGAAATTGTTTCCATCGGGTAACAAGGAATTAAAAATGGGGTGGCAGGGCAAAGTTTTTTGGGGGGAATTTGAGGGATAAGGAAATGGCTACTCTAAATTCTGCCTTGAGAGTTTTAGACAGCTTGTGGAGGAAGACAAAATGACAGGCTTGCAAGGGCAAAGCTGAAATTCACAACCTACATGTACTCGATGGGTTTCAGAAAAGACGAGCAAAGATGAAACGATTTTAGTGAAATGAAACCGAAGCTGTGGACTGGTTCAGGAGATTAGAGTATCTGTCCCCACGTATGAAAGAGAAAGGGGAACAGGCATTCCGTAATATGAATCACAGGGGAATACCATGGTTTTTTTATTCAAAGGGTGAAAACGTCTATACTGTAAACAAGCTATTTTTTTTTTAACAAGGCACGGGGTCTCAAAAATCTTGATCACTGATAACTTTCCCCCCCCCTTGGAAACACTGACATACCACTTTCTCACAAATTTGGTGGTGAGGTCGTTTTTCATGCTAGACAGCTGGCCAGTCATTGTTTCAACAAGTTCCACATCAATCTGGATTCTTATCCCCGATTGAGATGCATCATGTCCGATTTTCATTTCCGATGACAAACCGCCCGGAAAACAATCAATTAAAAGCCAAATAGATTGAGCAAATGTAATTGCCTGTGAGTCCTGCAACAATTACATAACACTGGGTAGGTAAGGGGTGGGGGGGAGGGAAGTTAGGCAAGGGTGTGGCTTTGACATCATCAGGCTAACCCCCCCTCCTGATGCTTATTTCCTCCTTGTGCACTTTCTTCCCAGAGTCAACCTAGCCCCCAGTCGTCTTAATCCCGCTGAAGGACGATTTCCTCAAGAGAGAGTCCGGGCGGTTAATGAGACCCTTCCTCATGAAAAGAGGGGAGGGGAAGCCCCAGGGGAGGGGAGGAGTGTGGGTCACGAGACCACAGGGTTTCACCTGCTGAGTTTCTCCGTTTTGCACGACATGGAGTCTTAAATCTAAACTCCCCACTGACTTGATGGATTACCTACTTAAACAAGGTTTCGACAAGATAATCCGCAAGATCGGGTGAAACGTACTGTTAAAATGGCCCGCTTAATTCCTTCCCAGAAATGCGTGCTTTTGTCAACGAATGACAAAGATTTCCTATATGAGTTTCACAAATAACACTTGCTACTCTTGTTTTGATCTTGATCTTAACACAAGTTGCTGACAGTCTGTTTTTGAAACAACGGAGTCAAACAAATGTAATATTTGATGTGAGACAGGAAAATGAACACAATCTGTTTTCGCCGGGAACAAAATTGGAAAAGTAGTCTTTCTTTTGAACCGAGGGTTCAGCTTATGAGGGGATCTCCTGCAAGCAACACAAATCTTCTTTTATTGAATCTGCTTCCCCATTCCACCCCCAAAAAACAACAAAAAGTATGTCCCGAACGCAAAAATACAAGGAGTGAAAATACTGTCCATGGCCTTGGCAGTTTCACATTCTTTCGGATGCACACAATTGAAATTGGAATCTGTTCTGTAAACGATGATGTTTTTTGTTGGTGAGGCTTCTGAATGTGTCCCTGGTACTGTACGTGAGCAGCGAAGGACAGTGAACTTCAGTACAATGGACTTGGAATGTAAGTGTGACAATGAAACATCACCTCCCATGAGACATACGCTTGGTCGCTTTCTCACTTTTGTGGATTTCTTTTGTTCGTCAGATGAAGGACACAAAGTGACACTGACAATGAACAGATATCTTTGTGACAAACAGAATTGCTCTGTTTCTCTACTGAAAGACCTTATTCGCTCCCGGCCATTGTCGGGCCTGAAGAATAATAGAAGTCTTCTTGCAAAGATAAAACTTGTTGGAAAGGGAATGCAGGAATTTAACACAAAGCAGATGAAAGAATGACTAATACACACGCAGTGATGCAACCTGGACAAAATAGGCAAGGGGAAAAAAAGACACAGATGGACACATGTCAAATGGGTAACTCCACACGTGCAAAATGAAGGATGTTTTTGGGCCAGCAGGGTTTAGTTTTTCTGTCCGTGACAACCGTCGACCAGACATGCTGGATACCTGCAAACCAGCAACAGGTGCGGAATTTGGACACCCCCCCAGCTGTAACCTATCAAAGAAGACATTGTCCACCTTGCTCCATCCCGTCTGGTTTAGGTTTTTCGAAGAGGGAGGAGAAATTATCGGTGGCCTGTTTCGTTTATCTGGGTCCAATTAGGCTGGGGCCAGAAATAATGACGATATGGCCCCTCCTGTTCCGCTAGTGGGGGTCTCCGTTGCATAAGAAATATGACAACCTGGCACTTGGGTTACATATTTTTCCTTCCTGATGGGAAGACAGTCCAGGTCCCCAGAGAACTGAGGAAAAACTCAGTGATTATCTATTCTCCTTCACACAGTGCCCCAGTCAATCTCGCAAAACTGATTCAGGTCTAGGTTCACGTTGCTTATTTTTTCCCATCTTTGTATAAGTGAGTAGCAGATACGTACATGTACATTATTTTCAGGGTCTTGTTAACTATAATTTGGCTTTGTAGTTTGTCTGACCTCACCTCGTGTTTTTCCATGCAACACACTTGCATTCAAAGTTGGGCGCTCATTCTTTCTGATATTTGGAACGACAAAACAATTTTCATTGCTGTCTGAAAATACGTCCTTATCGCTCATGGAGGGACTTGTAAGGAGTGTGGGAATGTAGCAACTTGTTTCGCATTCATGAACATTTGTCTTTCATCATCTTCAAAATTAACTTTACCCTGCGCACGCAGGAAAAAAAAGACACTTTAGGACAAACTGAATAAAAGGTCAAAGAAGCAAAACCTGATTGAAGAGGGCTTGTGCTAGAATTCAAACCAACCTATGTTTAACCAATCTATATTTGACCTACCAGTGTTTGAGTGTCTTTGGTGAGAATCGAACCTGGACTGACCGCTTTCAACAACAAAGCTGGAAATTAGACTAACAAGGACAAGTTAGCACACTGTTCTTTCATGATACTATTTCAAGTGTTTCCACCATACAACATTGATCTCACCTTTGTCAAACCGCTGCCTACAGAGATCCATGTCATCCTGCATGCCTGGTATCCTGTACAAACCCTCAATGCCCAAACCTGGAATCAAAGGGAACCATTCCATTACTTGCAAAGCAGATGGATTAATCCCAAACTCTTTAACGTGACACAAGAAAATTTAGTTTTCACAAGAATGCATGCGCCACTGTGTTTCATTTTGGGTGGTGTATCTTGCCTTTTCTTTTCTACAAGAGAAATGCTGGACTCAAAACAAGACTGTCTTCTGGACTCTCATTTATTTCAGAGGGCACAATGAATCCCAATTTCACGTGGCTCCTCTTCTCACAGTTCACAGCAAATAAATACTTTATAAATACGAAGACTGTCAAAAGCAGAGCGGGGGAAAGCACGTGTTAACCTTAGGGGCAAAATTGGCTTGAAACGTAATCTGACAATACAAATGTTACAATTCTTATCAAGTCTTGGCCATGCCACATGTTCACAGAATCTTTCTGATAAGAGTTAATGCCGCTCTTTTGGAAGCCGTTTCCAAAGTGTCATGGATGTGGATGCAAATGAGATCGGGCCAGCTCTTTGATTCTGACCTCTGGATTCCAGCTCCTCTATGCATCTGTCCACTACCACGGACCGCATCGTGCCGTGGGCTTTGGCCAGGGTGGTCAGGTCGACACCATAGACCCGCTTGATGAGGCGGCGGTCCGGCATGCAGTCCGAGGGCACTCTCTTGGAGCACTGCTTGTGAGTGCTCAGACCACAGTCTGTAAAAGCCGAGGGGGAGAGGAACTGTTAGATAAGAGGACATGCAGTCCAAGGACATACTTTTGGAGCAGTGCCTGTGAGTGCTCAGACCACAGTCTGTAAAAGCCGAGGGGGAGAGGAACTGTTAGATAAGAGGACATGCAGTCCGACTCCAAGGACACACTTTTGGAGCAGTGCCTGTGAATGCACAGACCACAATCTGTTGAAACCAATGAGGAGTGGAATGGTTAGACCGGAAACATGCACTATGAGGACATGCTCTTCGAGCACTGCTTGAGAGTGCTAAGACACCTGATCCCAGGGCGTGCTTTTGGAGCATTGCTTGTGAGTGCTCACACCACGATCTGTTGGAATCAACGTGACCATTTGAGTCTCTGTCTTCCCGAACAATAGAGGGCATGTTTTTACACAACAGAGACAGTCGTTTGGTGGGAGCACATCGTGTGCCCACATAGGTTCATGCACGTTTGGCATCGAACGCAATGAGCACATGCAACCATTTTCTGTTTGAAAGTTGGGTCTCTGGATGTGAGTGGGGCGCATGCACAAGCCTTCTTGAAAAACTTGCATCTCTTCTTTGCTGATAAGGATACACTTGAACTTAAGGCAGACAAGGCAATATTTGTGTAATTATTTTGTCTGTTTTCTTTCTTTTTTGCTTTGAGCTTAAAAATTGAAAAGAAAAACACAAGCGCTAATGTTTTTCTTCCCCAAACAATCATCAGTGTAATCCATTTAGGAGGCGTCAATTAGAGCGAGCAAATCACAGCAGGAAACGATTTAAGAGTAAATAACTGGCACCGTTTCTTTCGAATTGCGTGCCAGTGGAGGGGTACATGCATTGCTGCACATGTAGATAAGAGAGGAAAAGTCTAAATCCGGTGCCATGACATCCATGCAATGGTCGAATGGTAGGTGCTGAAGGCAGCTACGGTACATGCAGCCGGCATCTATTTTTATTTATTTTGATTGAGAAAACTGATAGAGAAATGAGGTCTGCCATTCGTTACATTTCTGTGTTTTGGGCACCGGAGAGGAAGACACTTTTTTTCTGGTTTTTCCTGTCAATGTAATCACGTAGTTACATTGTGCACAGGGGGGGAGGTTTTTTTTTTTACCTCGAGATCTGACGAATCAGGAAATAGAAATGGAAGTGACAGCTGGCATTAAGCATGTTTGCTTTTTCCTTTCTTTGAAGGGTGGGTGGACGGGTGGGGGGAAACATGGGCCAATCCACTTTCAAGTGGGAATTCCTGCTAACTCTGTGCACTGTACATTCTGAGATGCTCAAGAGAAAATCCTCCCTTCTGGTAGCTTGCTTATAATTGGACCTGCGGCATGACTGCCTGCTGACTTTGGAGCAGTGCTTCACCACAAATTTGTCTGGTTAGGTTGGCAAACCGTACCCCAACAGACAACTGAAACAACTGATATGTAGCTCCCAACGGGAGAAATATCCAGACTTGTGAGCTCAATGAGCAGGGATAATTGTAAGGTATTGGCAGCCTGGAATGACAGATATTCTCATAAATGCTTTATCACTATGGCTAATATTATTTTAAGGAAAGCTGCTTTGCAAAAACAAGTGAAATGAAGGGGAAAAAACATATTCCACGAAAGAAAATTTAGGCTTACTAAAATCATTTACTGATATATCAACCACAACAGTTCAGACTACATGTACCTTTAATAGTCAGGGAATTCAGGACTATTTAGGTTGAGAAGTGAAACTGTTATCACCTCCATTTGATTGGATTACAACTTCCTTGTTCTGTAACTTTTCGAGTCAAACCTGACAAGTCGGTATTGATGTGATGGCTGGTGTTTTCAGAACCAACTACTGAAATACACGCTCTGGCGTGACTCGTGAATGTGCCAGTCAGCGCATAACGTGAGGTGTCTGTCCCTTCCACTCACCGACCCGAGCCAAGTGCGTGCGCGGCGCTGATAAGCCGGGCTATGTGCGATATTTTTAGCCCTGCAGTTCTTCGGGAAGTGTCTCCGGGTCCCTTCCTGTGCCCAGCAGCAATGTTGTCTTTGTTAGTTTCCATGGACTCAAACTGGTTTTCACCCGGTCAAACAATTTTTCACCCCCTCCAGGTGTACAGTCTTATCAATGACTCCACCCATTTCAGGGGTCATCCAACCCTTTTTTTTTCTCAATATCTACTTTCGAAGTTGAAAAAAAGCTTCCACGCCCAATACTGGCAAATCTTAAATGCCCATTTCCCCTGTCAAAAACTGAACCATTCCAGCTTTCAGGGCCATTTACACGTAGCATCAAACGTCTTAAGAGTAAGCGAGCTGTTTCAAATCTTATTAAGTGCTTGGGTGGAGTCAAACACCTCCACAAATTATCTTATTTTCCAAATTTGAATTGATGAAAATTGTCGACTGGATGCATGTGTGAAATCAATCTTTAGTGCATGATGGTTAAACTGAAGAAGCGTTGATGTTCCAAGTGCAAATGTGAAAACCCTGTTTTTGTTTTCCTTTGAACTAATCTAGGATACAATGCAAGGAAGTTGGCTTCTTCATCTGACTCTCATAAGTTCACTGAACACTGACCCCTGCAGTGCATGCACGAAGTGAATAGACTTTCATCCATCTTACCTGTGCATCGGACGCCCTGAGCTATGAGACCCCACATGAAGTTGCCGCAGTACTCGCACCAATTCAGACCCTTGAAGTTGTGCACCTGTCACAGTCGAGAACCAACAGTTAACTTGGCAAAAACTTCGGCTTCAAGGCCACTAACAATAATATAATATCATTAATTTTTAAGCCAGGGGTACCAATACATACCTTATAAGTCTTATGTGAGTTAACTAAGAATAAAGTCTGATACATCAAGTTATCTGATTGCAACACAAAGATAAGAATTTGAATTCCCCAGACTAAAGACACTGTTGCTGTAACTTACTTAACCGGAATCACAAGGTTTAGCAACAGTGTCTTTGGTATGGAGAATTCAAATTGTTATGCTCACGTGAATTTAAAAAACTCAGTGTACCAGATTTTATTCAAATTCAACTTACAAAAGGCTTAGTATGAGGGCCCAAGTGGGCCTTCAATAATAAGATTCGGCCCAATTGTGGTTTTCCAACTGGACCTTATTGTCTTTTCATAACAAATTTGTTTGAAGGAAGACTTGGTTTTGCTACTTCTACATTTGGGCTGAGTCAATTCGAATAATTCACTATATGAATATTTGACCTTTAATTGGATCAAATATCTGAATATTCAGTCGTACCAGCTGGCAGATTGTTGATGAGCAAACCATATACAAAATCAGTCGCAATAACACACACATTTGTATATTATGATCGATATAATAGCTTCTCATATCTAGGAGTATCTCCAGCCACGATTTAGCAAGATTTAAGAGATGAACAAGACTTATAGCCCTGTAGAAAATTTCTATTCCTTTTAAACTGTTTAATGAATAATTGACTTTTTAAATCGTTGTAAGATTTCTGCTTGAAACAAGTCTCCATAGTGTAATGTTTCTCTTTTAAAACAAAAAAAATTTTCCCTTACTTTTCAGGAATTTTGCATTCAAATATTCAAATTTGAAAAATATTATCTGAATATTCAACAATCGATCAAATATTTGGTTATTTGGATATTCGGCACAGCCCTATTCTACATTTATTTTTTCTGTTCATACCTTGAAATTATGTGCCTTCTCATACGACGCTGATGTAACCACATTGTCTAGGCATTCGGTTTCACTTGTGCGCGAATCAACCTGAAAGCAGACAAATATATCAAACTCTTAATATTGCCACTTTAAAAGGCACTTTCTGATACCTATCAAATCAATTCACACCCAACCCCCTGCCCTCTTGAAGTTCCTCTTTTCAGTCTCTCCAACCTGCACCCCAAACTCTCCCTCATTTTTTGTTTCGCCTGCCATCTGCGCCACGGTGCCTCTTCCTTGCAACTGGGCTACGTGTATTTCATTTTTTTCCGTAGAAAGTTACAGTCTGCTCGGATCAAAGAAGTCAGCCTTTCAAGCTTTTCAGATTTGTAAGTTTCAAATTACCGTGGTCACCAGGCAGTTTGCAACAGTGGTTGCACTTCTGTCTTTGACAAAGATTCTGCCAAGATGAGAATCATCCGGTTTTCCAACTTCAGTTTAATTGGGTGAAAAGAGCAAAACCGAAACAGCTTTTGCTGTACTAAAGAAGACATCAACTCCAGATCTTTGTGATCCCTGCTTGAGAGAGTCAAGTCGCAATAAATTGCGGAAGGAAGAACAAAGAAGAAAAATGGGTGTGGAAGGAAAAGAGGCAGGTATGTAGGAAACGCAGAACCCTGGGGATGGTGAACTGTGAGAATGAATGCCACCACAGCCTTATCTGAATTCCCAAGAGTGGTCTCTCGTATATCCCGTTTCCCTTCCTACTTCTTCTTCCGCCCCCCGCCCCCCCAAATGGGCACATTGTTTCCTTGAACTGCGGCAATCTCAAATCATACAGCCTAAAACTGACTCGGTGCCCCGTTGGAGTTGCCAACTGCCCATGGATTACTGGGATTTGGGATATTATTAATTGAGCAAATTAAAAAAACCTGCTCTTTCGAAGCAGGCAACCTTTTGACCTACCATAAGCTCACCAAACAGAAGCCATTTTACAGTGCACTGTGGGAAACAGTTGATGAATTTATTTGCTGGCAGTGAATGGGAAACTTGAATTGGGCCTGATGTTTGGTTAAAAAACTGATGAGTCTATTTCGAGTATCAATTTTATGCTGCTCCCATTTTGAAATTCATAAAGATCCAGATAACTGGCATGTCAGGCGGCCGCGAACTTGGACAGCCCTTCTGGGGCAACCTCTTGGTGGCGCATTGTATTTCACCAATACCAAGCCACTCCTCAAAGACTGAAATGATTTCAGGAAAGTGTGAGCTCTATTTCATGAAACTGATAAGCAGTAAATGTTGCTAGGAACATGTATAAGCTGAGCAAAATGTTGCAGAGAACTGCTGAATACAAACACACATCACATAACTTTTTGGGCTGGTAACCTCTTTTCTTGTTGGGAAACGAACAGTTTCTATGTTTTACCAGAATTATGTGATAAGCAAGATCCTGTACATGAAACCTGCCCTAAGCATACATCACTGGTTACTGGACAGATTTTGGATTGGAAAACACTGCGCTCTTTAAGCTGGTTTCCTGCATATTTTTGGAAAAAGGCGACATTTTTTCTCAGCAGCTTGAGCCCCTGTGCAGTGCTGGCCCCCCTCTGCCTCCGCCTCCCCCCTCAGAGACAATTAGGCCAGTAACGCTCCCTCCGACTGGACGCGACAGCTGGAGAAGAGGATCCCTAATCACAAGATGGCTTCCCAATCATCCGCACTAAGCCGTAACCCTGTGTAAAGTGCTTAACTATTGACACCCTCGTCAGGTGTTGCGGCTGGCCTTAATGAGACAAGACACTTGCCAAGCGAGTTGGGTATGCGTCATCAAGTTTAGGGGTTGATTGGGAAGCCAGGTAAGGTAACCTTCAACTGGACTGTTTCCAGAAGCAACTGCTATTTTTGAGGAGTAACTTTTGAAAGAAAACCATTACATGTTGCATGTGTGACCTTGATATGCCCATCAATCTTCACACCAATATAGTCTTGCTCGCTGTTCGGACTATTCATAGGGCAGAAACCTATCAATATCTTGTGACCAGAACTTCCTGTCCAAGCTATTTGAATGTTACCAATTCCTTTTGGTTGCTAATATAAAGAAAACTACGGCTGATCGATGTCTGCAAAGATTGGGCAGGCCATCAGATCAGGGAACTAGACTACCCACAGTGCTTTGCATTGTGTTGATAACATGTCGTGAGACAGAGTAGACAAGTTAGTGGATATGAGCTGAGGACAGGTGGTGAAGTGACCTCTGTAGGCAAACAGCCTTTGGCTGCATGACAACGGAGTTCAAGACCAGCTTCCAGAGCCGAGGCTAAGGTACATATATTGTACATGTACATCTATTGACATCATGCACCCGCTCATTTCCAAATGATGAATTTCTAGACTCAGCTCAAGGTGCAAGACTTGAACACAGTCGTACAGACCTTGCCACACAGCTCTTCTCACCTGATCAGAGATGGAGGCCTGGTGAGTGATGTTGGCAGGGGGGACTACAGCCCCGTTACTGACTCTCTTGTCCCGGATGGTGGCGTAGCGCGAGTGCTTCTCGTAGATGGGCTCTGACTCCATGGCCTTAATGTAGTCGGCAGCCTTGGCCTCCACGTACATCGTGATGAGGCCGTCCGCCACCAGGTCGTGCAGCGAATCGAAGCGCTTGTCCGCCACGTAGTGCTTGCCATCGTAGTAAAGCCGGAAGTTCCACGTGGTGTGGTTCAGCCTGCAGGTTGAAATCGGTAAAGGAAAATACTCAAGGCAATTAAATAATGCAGAAGAGCCAGGCATTTACTGGTTGTGGCTAAAATGTATGCAACAGCCGGTCGTTAGCTTGTTCATTTGTTGTGGGAAATTTGGACAGGGCTGGGAACAGATGGAACTATTGCTGCATTGGACTACACCAACTACTAGGGTAAAGGCAGGGGTGCAGGCTGATTGGCCGGAAGGGAGAGGTGCAATTTTCAAGAAAGCGGAACTCAAACTCAAATGAGGAAAGCAAGTGTGCACTTGAGAAGTAGATTGCCCCGATAAATGTATTTGCTATTTTACTTTTCGGTCATCGTGTATCAAAAAGCCACATACTTTCACTTTAATAAATCAACGTACTGCTGTTTCGTAAAAATAAAAATATGAACACCTCATGCAGAACTCCTTTCTGCTGGTAGGGGGGTGTGCATCCCCATCCCTTGCACCCCCCAAGCCTATGCCCTTATATAGGCTTTTCTTAAGGGAAATAGCCATGTTTTATGCCTTTTGAAACAGTTTGTACGTACATATAGGTACTGTTATCTTGGCATTGAATTCATATTTTTTTTAAATAGTTTGGGCCTTTGGTATTTTTTCTTTCTTTGCCCCATCTGGGGGTAAATGGAGGAAGTTTTAAACAACATCCCTTGCCCTTGTTGCTATGCCAACTGGTATTACATTTATGTCTTTCTTTAATGTGAACCAGTTTTGCAGTCAAGACCATTGCAAAAGACTAGACACAAGATCAGACATAAGACCACTCACAAGACCAGTCATGAGACTTTTCATAAGACCAGTCATATGACTAATCACAAGTTCGCATAACAAGATGAGCAATGATAAAAAAGGTTTTTGTTACAGTTCATTTAAATTAGACTGGTGATCTTATGTAGATCTTGTGTTGGTCTTTAAAGGGGGGTCTTTAACAACTTCTCGAGAGCAAAAATAAACGTCTTCCCAGGATTCTTCCACAAACTACGACAAGTACTGCAACTAGCAATTCTTTTAGATCACCATCACCCTACAGAACTACAGCATGATGTGACTAGCCAATTAGAAAAAATCGTCCCTAATCGTCAGGCTTTCCGGCCAGCCTTGGACGTGATATGATGCACGGGTTCAATATTTTGACTTCTTAATGCTGTTGTGGTATCAATGCAGGATTAGGCCGAGATCTGAGCGATTTCTCTTTTTTTTCTAAGGGATATGGGGACTGAGACAATTCACAGACAGGATGCACCACATTTGCCATATCGAGTGGCAGACGGCTGACCAACGCCATTAGGATTACTCAATGGAGCCAATATTATTGAAGGGTAAATCCCACTGTCCAAATGAACACTTCCCCTGCGGATGTGCAGGCGTGAAGTTGATGGTCATGTAGTGAGGATCTGGTGTATGAGCGTTGTTTGCATCGTATTTACACAACACGAAAAGGAAGATATTGAGTGCCACGTGTCAATTACAGGATGGAATTTAAAAATAGTTTTGTTTTGCAAAAACTAAGGGTTGGTCCCACTCTACAATTAAACAAACAAACAAACCCCCTTTAACAGATTTGGGATGAATTCAATGGCCCTTGAAGAAATTTTGTTAAAAAGCCTTTTGCGAGTTAAATTTTGAATAAAATCTGGTGTACTGAGTTATCTCATGACATATAAACAGAACAATTTGAAGTCCCCACACTAAAGACACTGTTGCTATACCTCATGATTCAGAGCAAGCTTTTGCATATATGTGCCGGTAGTGACCATCACCTTGGGAATGAAGTGGTTTCTTTATGCCCTTCTTACCCACTGAAAAAAGTGTATTCGTGCAAGGCGTCTCTTGCATACATCAAAACTACGCAAAAGCTTGCCCCAAATCACAAGGTGTAGCAATGGCGTCTTTAGTATGGGGAATTCAAATTATGTTCACATGAATTAAAAAAACTCGCAGATTTTATTCAAATTTAACTCGCAAAAGGCTTATTGTATGTTTTTGTAATCTGTTTATACAAGTAGCTTTGTTATGTTAAAATTCTGTACAAAGACGCATACCTGAAACTTATGTTATTTCAAACAAATAAGAACTCGGGCAATTAGTGTCACCTCGAGAAAAAAAAAAGATAAGCAAATGATGCATGAAAATTGTCTGAAACTGAGAAACACACACTTGCTTGCGAGTTAAAAAAAAGGATGTCAATATTTTTGTCTGTGCAAACACGAAGAATTAGAGGTATCCGCACCAATTTCTGGCTAGTTTCACAGGTTTCCTGATGATTTCTGGACGATCTAACCCCCTCCACCTCTCCTCACTCTACACCTCCCCGCCCCCTCCTCCGATTACCATCGACAACTTCTTAAACCTTCAATGTCTCAGTTTGGTGCAGTTTGATCGGCAGGATGGACGGCATTAAAAAATTAAGAAAAAAATCTACACGGCCTAAAAATGTTAACACCGGTCATCCATCTGCAACTGCACGTTTGTGTATCATTCCTCCTGGCGTTATGATCCAAGAAGGTCTCCATCTCCAAAGTAGTGAAAAACTTCCGGCCAACACCCAGGTGTCTGTCCAAAATTATTCCCTTAGGAGCAGGAAGGGAAAAATGGCCTTGGTTCCTCATTTGCAGTTTATTTAAGTATAGGGTCCGCACAAACTGCAGATTCACCGTTCATGCCTTGCACAGCAGTGACCAGAACTGACCTACCGGTATCTGCACCACCCATGAAGTGCCAAACGCAGGGGGTGAATTCTGAATGAATTCTAAACTGAGGGCAGTAATCCCCCCTCTCCCCACTAATGAAGTCACAAGCAAAAGTCTAACAAACTGCTTGGTGAGCCAAAATGAAACCAATTGGAGCAAATATCTGGCGCTGATTAATGCATCAATCTTTTCGTCCTTGAAAGTGTCAACATCTGTGCAGGTGGCTTGGTATATTCACGGTAAACCACTTCATTACAGCCAATCAGTGAGTTTACATTTCCCACATGTCTGTTACAGTTTTAGTAGCCATAGTCGGGTACTTTCAATGCCACCTCCGATTCAAAATGACAGAAAAACCAATGAACAAACTGGATCTTTATCCTAACTAGGAATTGACATCAAACCTTGGGAATGAGCTTAAGTTTAGGTAACTGAATTTGCAAAATAAGCAGAATGAACGCAATCTGTTCTAGTGGAGGTTAAATCTGAAAAAAGGGGCACTCCGTAAGTCAAAGGTCACCTTATTCCTAGGGTGAAGTTGCCAGGTGCTCGTTGGCTCTCTCGGACCAAGTAGCTCCCTTCTCCGCCCCTCCTCAAAGAATTGTCAGCCTCCTCCCGAGTTATCGCTCCGTGAAACCTACAAGTGGATAAATGCAAAGAAAGAAAAATTTTATTCTAAAAATATATCACACACACTGAATCCGGATCAATTTTTACTGGGACACCAGTAAAAAAAAAAAGGAATGAACTGAAGATCTTCTACATCCTGTATTGATTTTATTCAAATATATACATGCATACTCATACTCAAATTAAACAATATGAGGATTGATTGCTGCTGACATGTATGAAATGAGATGTGACTGGTTTGTCTCTTTCACTCAAGTCAAAAGTCCAGTCTCAAAGAGTGCCTTTCTAGCCCTCTTTTCCCTGTCAATCCTTAGCTACAGCTTCCTGTTTTTTAGGAGGTAGCCCGGGAAAGGATCACTCAGAGCTACATGTATACAGGAGCTTGTTAACGACTATTTGAGAAGAATTCACTTTTCTTGAACGTCAAATGTCAACGCGTCAAACATGTCAGTCCTGCTTTGGCCACTGGCTCGTGTAATGGGTCTTGATCGGTGGACGGGGAGGGGGAAGGAAAAGAAAGCCTTGATAATGGCGATTTCAACTTTGGATAGGTCTGGCTTGCTATCCTGGAGCAATTTTGAGCAATGGCTATAGTTAACCACAGTTTGACTGATGTCACTCAAACTACAGATGGTTGAAATGTACAGTTGATGAGTTTGGACACATGCCCTCATTCATGGTTGCGTGGTTACTGTTGACCAATGAACATTTCTTCATTGTCAACTGCTTCAGGGCCCTTGGGAAGAACAGCTCAATGATTGGGGTAAACTGCATAGATCGTATTGGGTATTCCCTCAAAACATTAGAGATCTGTTTCTCCAAATTAGTTCCGAAATTCTTTTGTGATGAAGCCTTCAATGCGGTAAGACATTATCCCCCTCCTCCCACCAATTTCTGGTCAAGAACCACGCCCGTCAGGTCCAAGTACAGGGCCAAGAAAGTCAGGGCATGGCTTTGTTTCTTTGTTAGACACCGATGAATGTACAGCCAAACGTATCAGCTGATTAAGGGACAAGACCCCAAAGAGGAAAAGTCTAATCCAGTCTGCGATCAATAATTGTGAGCTATCCATTTAAACCCACCCCCACCCCGGAAACCAGACTAATTTCGGGGAACCCAAAGTCTAATGTACATATCAATGCAATGCTATACTTGCACGGACTCGGTTACAGCGTGCGGATACAATGTAGCTACATGTACTTAATGAGATCTTAATTCAGTAATGCACTGGTTTGGGGGGGGCGAGGAAGGGGAGGGGTAGTGGCTTGATATCACATTACACTTGGGGGGGTGCTCTTCATGATACCGATCGTCTATTGCCGAGTAGAAGGTACCAGTACCTATATACTACTCGTACACTCGTGGAGTGCCGTGGCCATGTGGTATAAGAGTGTTGAATTCGCGATCGATGGGTAAAGCCGCACACTGCGGGTTCAAATCCAGCCCGGGGTCATGGTACATGTGCCCTCCTTGGGCAAGGCACTTTGTCACTCATTGCCTCTCTCCACCCAGGAGTAATTGAGTGCCCTGTGATGGCAGAGACGGTTATTGTGGTTGATTTAACTGCTTTGGGCTGAAAATGGCCGCATCAAGCTGTATACTCCCCAGGGAGCTGAGATGGCATCTAGAATGTTTCGTGGGCTCAGTAAGCAGGGATAATAATGGAAAAGCGATTTGAAATTAACTTAAAAGCACTATATAAGAACCTGTTGTTATTATTATTATACTAAGCAGGCTGTAATAATGTGACTAGCATTATATAAATGCTTTTTGTCAGGCACAAGATGTGATTACCATTATTCAAATTATCCACACATGTACATGTACTGTATAGATGTACTCATGTCCACATGCCTTAAGCACACATAATAGTGGTTGGTACCCTATGTGTGATTAGATACACACTATTGTTCTCCACTTTTCAGTTCTACCCAACACATTTTGCTGTTTGAATGTCTGAGTATAACTTCACCTGCTCTTTTTTTTGTTATAACCAAAACCTGGAGGTGGAGAACGATCAAATTTCCCTTCCGGTATCCCCCCCGATAAAAAGTGGGGGAAATAACCCTTTCCCCATCTGGATTTACCACCCTGTGTCCTGGCATTTCGAATTACTGTAGACTTTGGCTTTCAACATAAAACTGTTTCATCCCTCTGTTGTATTGGTTACATTTCATACTCTATGAATCCTGATTAAGGAAGCATTTTCGTTTGGAAATATCGTTGATCCTCTAAAATCAGGCCCTACGGTCTAGGAAACTAACGGTAATTCTGTGTATAGTGTAATTCGACCACAAGAATCAGAAGCCATTACTGCAGCGGCACAACGCTCGTGGACAGGTGGTGCGCGCGCATTACAAGTCTCTTTGACCAACAGCCTGTCTTGATTTGCCAAATGCACGCGCGTCTCAAGCTGAAGAATGCGCCATAACTGCAGTGCCACTGCAGTTATGGCGTCTAACCGGATAAGTCGATATCTCGCTTCATTTCAGGAGTGACCAGCAGAATGTGAAGTACCAACGGCTATGCTGTTCCTGCACCATATGTGTCCAGATTTCTTCCCATCCTATAAATGTAGTATTTCAAAATTTTCCAAAGTACGTGTACAATAAATGTTTCCTCTTCCCTCTCAATATGGGCGATTCACAGTAGCGCACCTCTAAGCATTTGTAGCGTGTTGGCCAATCATAACGCGCAAAATCTGTCGATCCTTTCAAAACGCCCACTGAGTCGACAGACTTCGTGCATTGTGATTGGCCAATGCATTGCAAACTCTTGGAGGCACACTACTGTGAAACGCCTGTATTAGGTCTTGCCACAAGCGTATTCGTCTGTATGTACATATGAATGTTTACTATTGCTTTTTATGGTTGAAGTACCGTACATGCACTTGGTAATTCCAAGAAGTAGCTCATTTGCCTAAATCAATGGATTATTTAATGCCGTAATGTTTGTTGCAGACCATCAAGCCACTACATACAAATTATTCGGAGGAAGTGTATGATACGTGGAATAAAAACAGACGATTATGACCGGCATGGTTTATGGTGTGCTTCTAGAGCCACTGAAACCAAATTTGAGCAGACGCCAACAGCGGCAGAGATGAGAACCGCACTGAATGCAGCAAACTGCAAGGAAAATTGTGTGGATTTCTGTCGAAGAGTGCGGTGTACAGGATGCACCCAAGAACTGACTCCGTGCATTCACATGAAGAACAAAGGCATTTTTCGATTGGTCTTAAAACACCCACACAGCATACAGTATAGTGCGTGTACCGGTACATGTAACAATGCAAAAATAACGTTTGGACTACATTTTGAGGTTGGGGGAGGTATTTCCCCCTGAGAATAATGCCCTTGCTGACAACTCAATCACAAGACACTTATTCATCTGCACACTGACAAATAAATTAATATAACATTGGCGTTTCATTTTCACTTCAATATCGCAGGTGAGAATGACGACAGTAGGCTCCATTCTGATTGATTCAATCAGAGCTGGTTTCCTGGAGCCGCTATTTTTTCCGGAACCCTGAGGTCACCTGGGAAGGGTCATCTGACTGTTTAGGTCCGATTGGCCGCACAAGCACACCTGTGATAATCAACAGGTGTCCCGTCCCTTTGCATGTAACTCCCAGACCGGAGCAACCTCGCAGCTAGAGCACGTCTGGGGCCCCAGGTGCATGAGAGGGTGCGAGTTAGAAATGCAGACCCGACCGTTACCTCACACGCCGGGTGCTTCCTATTGGCCCCTTCCTGCACCAACCTTGCAACTCAATTTAGCGCCACCAAAACTGTTGTACTGAGGCCCTCTGAGGGTATTCACACCACCACCGAGGCCACTGCAGAATACCTCAGTGTTCAAATCCTTACTTTCCTGCTATGGTTCACTCAGAGCACGCACTTGGGTTATTTGAGGGCATTTGCTCTCAGAGACAAAAGCAAAGGTGAAAGTCCAAACTTTTGTGCTACAGACATGTAGAGTGCTTTGAAGGTCAAAGGTTAGAAAAATACATGTACTTTATTAGCTCAATGTTCCTTATTTTTGTGTTGAGGTTCTTATGTACATGTATTTATAAAGTACCGGTTTTTATAAAGTCTGATGTTTGGAAAATTCACTCTTCTCTAATTCACTCTTATCATGTATCTGAAGTAAAGAAACATCAGAATGAAGTCTTGAGTTCTGTCACTTGGTATGTTACGAAAAGGAAGGTCTTCAAGCTGTATTACTGAAGGAATTCACTTGAGAAGAAACATAGAAAATGGAGTCCAAAGTTTTGGATGAAGGTCGGTTGTGGTCAGTTTACCGTCATCATTAGCGCATGTACAGTGTAGATGGATTGGGTCTTCAGTTCAGAATTAGACTTAAACTTAAAGGGCTTTTGCACTTCCAAGTCTTCATGACAATTGAATGTGGTTTTACTTAGAATTTGGGCAGATTATTACTAATAGTCAAACAAAATTTATAAAGCGGACACATCCACAGAGACTGGATGCCACAGTGACAAGGAACAACAAATTGATATCTTTTGACTATTTAGTCTAGACATGAGATATCCGTTACAGACGTTGTTGAATTGTGATAAGTACAGTAGGGGTGCCAGTGATGAAAAGTCCCAGGGTTGAAACTTATCAAAGATGATGCATACTTTTCTGGACAAAGACAGAAAAAATGATTTTATTCTCTGACTGGCCAACCGGCACTACTAGGATTTACATGTATGCGGCTACAGAACTGATGATTGTCAATTCCAATCCTCCTTTGTGACGGAAGATCTAGCCAACAAATCGTCACTTAGAATTGCTTGGAAATCGTGTGGTGTGCCAATATTCCTTTCCCAAAGGAAAATGGTCTTAATTTTCAAATCATACTTGATTTGCCGAGATACTGTTTTTTCTTTGAAAGGCATTTTCAAAACAGACAACTCATTGCAACCGGGTAGGCAAGTAAAGCTTCATCAGCAAAATGGTTGATTTTGCCTGGTGCCCAAGATTTATTCTGCGTGCGGGTTACCAGGGAAAAATCAATCAGTGGCTGCTGAATGAACTTTGCTTCCCATGTATAAACTCAAGTCACTTTTAATGTCTCACAGTTCAAAGATCACAGGGTGTGGGCAAATAATGTTCAAGAACCAAGGATGAGCAACCATTTTCCCCATTAACTTCAAAGAAATTTAATCATCATGGGGAGGGGGGGAAGAGGAGACAACTGATCTTTTGAGAGTGCAACGCATCCTTCCCTTCCATCGTCACATTACCTGTTGCGTGTCTCGGATTACAGGTGAGCAATTAACCCTCCAACTCCCCACAAAAGAAAACCCAGGATCACACAGGTACACTCATTAGAAACCCTTCCTGGTCAGATGATTGGAAACCCATGTTGGGACAACGACACACCTCACAAAATTAGTGCGGGATTGAAACTACGCTACAGGTAGTAAGTGGAAGGTACTGGGCAGATACAATTATCTTGCAATCCAAAGGTGAACGGAAACACTGGATCCCCATACATATGAAACTGACCTCATGATTCTTACTTAAATATCCTGCAATTATGACCCAATTACTCAAAACTCCTTGCCCTGGAAATCAGGAACACATGCACAGATACATCGTAAGTCGTGCTGAGGATGGCACTGCGTAGCTCCTTGGGACAGTTTCAGGCCTAGCACCATATCTGTGACTTTGGCTTGTGGCGCTGCAGGGCACAAATTCACAAGTTACTGGAGCGTGTACATGTAGGTATTTGAATGACAGCGTGTCACCTCAGAACGTTCATCTTTGAGTGAATCCTTTTCCAACACCCTCTCCCACTACAATGGTTCCTTTTCAACAGTGCCTCTCACATGATCAACAGTCCACCAATCAAATGACAGAAATCTTTACAGAAATTGGAAAACAGCAGCTATTTGTATTGCTAATCATTCATTCAGAAAATTGCAAATCCCTCAAAATCCCAGCAGGACCCCCAACCCCATGTAAATGAACTTGGGAATGTTGTTTAAAGTCAAGTCACTGAATGGACCTTTTATCAACTGGGACGTATTGTGATGACGTTTCATCCAAAACTTTCCAACTTCACCAGGCAAGTAAGATTTGCTTAGCAGGTGTTGAACGTGATGGTTCCCAGCAAAGATTGATTGGTTGCCTGCTCTTTAGTTGCTGATTGAAGGTTGTTCTATTTTCTAGCCACGATGGCTTACCCCTGTGGAGCCAACATTCCCCTTTATCTCGGATGACGTTTTTGTTTGCAAAACCACATGTACTGTACGACCTAATTCTTTGAGATGTTGAAAGACTGCTGAATTTTGTGCTTTGTTGGTGCAAGGCCAGTGGTGTTGTTGAAACGTCAAATAAACAAGTTCCAAAAGTATACATATCATCACATTGACTTGGTGAAGACAAAATGCAACAGAACTTGGGAGTACTTACTCTCGACCGTAGTGCGGGGGCTTGTTGTCCGTTGGAAACAGGCAGACGATCCGCTTGGGCTTGGGCGCCTCCTGCTGCAGGTTGTATACTGCAAACAAAGAAGAAACAGTCCTTGAGCGCACGTGACACTTTCTCTTCACCGCTGACAGCGACTGCACCTGAATACGGTACTGACGCAGATGCCGGTGGGGACAAATGGACAGGAGCCAGTCTGGGGACACACTGAAGCGGTTGTACTTCTCCGGAAGCTCCAAGGAAGAGCGGACCGATCGGGCTGTGGCTGCATTCAATTTCATTCTGAACAAATGTGTTTTCTCGTCAAATCCTACATGTATCACCTTTGTTATAAACAGCAAACTGAAAATACTCTGGGTACTAAGGAAAACCACTCACACTGACGGAATTTATATAAATTGTATTCCCGTTACTCTCTCTCATATTCTGCACTAAAATTATTTGTTACGTCAACGGACACAGCTTCGATTTACCCCAGAGGGGATATCCCTGTAGTTTAACACATAACTGGCCCATATGGCTAATATCCTGAAAAGAAAAGTGCAATTATGCTGAAAAAAAGGTGTACAGTAAGAGTAGGAAACTCCAAAGGAAATGATTAAAGCAGTTTGAGCCATTTCTGCTGATCGGGCATGCTGGCGCCATCCAATGGAGTTATTCATTCCCGAGTTATCACAAAAATGTTGCGCAATGCTTTGCTATTTATAAACCAAAATGTGGCAATGTAATCATTTGGTTTTTCTGGTATGTCACTCTACGCATTCAGGGTGAACGAAAGGAAACCTAACTGGCGGTAATTACACCTTACACACCATTTACCTTCGGATAATGCCAACGTGTACCTGTCTTCAAAAGGACATGTTGCTCATTTCAAAGCCTTTGCAATCATTCCAAATGGAATGATGCAGTACTTTTGTATCTTATTCAACTAACACTGGAATTTTTTTAATAACCAGCCAGTACGGTATTAATAAATATAGAGTAAAGTGCAGAGCACTTTACACAAAAGTGCTTTACAGTAAAAATCTAATAATAGTTTGGCAGTGGGAGAAAACAAGCCCTTCGGGTATGGACAGTCACCAAAAGAGGAGAAGTAAAGGAAAAACTTGGAAAGATAGAAAATCAAAATCAAAAGGACCTAAGTGGATGTAAACCACAGGATTACTTTTGAATGGGGGAAAAACGACCTTTTGAGAAAGAAATTATTCCACAGCTAGAGTTTAAAATGAAGTCAAACATCACAAATCCACTGCACTGACTCTTGAAAGTCAGTTTTTTTCACAATATCTGTATAATTCATGATCTTTTCCAGGAACTCTGAGGGTCGGCGACTTTGCAATCTTTGCCACATTGTCCCAATGTCGGGCCATGTACATGTACAGTAGCCATGGTCAAGTTCAGCGCATGATGTCCTTGTACCTCCACTGGCTTGTGCCGGTACCAAACAAGTGGGAAATCCAACAATTAATCAAATCACGATCGCTGCCATGAATGTACTGACGCACATTACCAGAGTGTGTTTACACCCGCTCAGTGAAACTGTCAACAAAAACCATTACAGGGTTTAAGTGTCTCCAGGCACTGACTGGTTTGGAAATGGAACAGTAAGACACAAGGGAAACGACGACAGCACAATTCATGCTCATCAGATCCAAACCTCTCTTGAATCACAATTTCAGCTGGAGTGGGATTTTAAATTTGGCCACAGCAAAATGGTGTAATTGATAGACTGGATGTGTGTTTACCATTATGTGGTATACACAATACATGTAAAAAGCCAGCACTCCCTACGCACATTCAAAAGAACCAAGATATGTGTAAAAGCAATGCAGCCTACATGTACATGCAGGTTGGACTTGAATCTGGGTCACATATATGTATAGCCTTTGAGCAAGGCAAAATGGATAGTCGCTCAAGAGCGAGGAGCTGGAGGAGACCAGTGTAAGCACCAAACCAACGCACGGAGAAAGACTACACAACGAACCGCACGTACGCCCCGACATACACAGCTCAGCTACTGCAAGCACATGCATGGTTAATTTTGGGCTTGCATGCAGTTCTTTGTGTAGTCTTGACTATGCACTTTGCCACAGGCGCCTTGATCGAAGGCTAGGCCACATACAGAGTACAAGGAAATGTTTCGCTCCAGTGCATTTGTGTGACCCCTGTGCCCCTAACGCGACGCAACTTTCAGGTGCGATGTGAACCCCGGCCACATGCGCAGTAAACTGTAGCATCACTGCAGTAAAGTGCATATAGAAATAAACGATGAACATTTCATGTGGCCATTATGATCGGCAAATCAGCTAAACTAAACCTGGACGTTTATGTGTCATGGTGGCCATGCCCTTATTTTGGAACACTACACACAGCCAGCCACTGAGCCTACGGAGGATGCCTTGACTAAGGCTGACCTTAAAGTCACATGATTTCAGCCTACATGGGATTCGCCAGTCCTGGCCCCGAAACTCCCCCTGCCCCCCTAAAACGTTACACCATGTCACCGATTTCCACTCTGCTACCTTTGTCTAATCATAAAAACCGTCCATTGTGTCACCATTCCTTTCAGTCAGGCCACTGTGCAGGGCACATAAGTCAAAAGTTTAGAGCTGACACCCAAAAATGCAAATTGATATTGATGCCTGGCCAAAGAACAATTAGAACAACCCCCTAACTGAATTTCCCTCTCTGGCGTTCTATCGAGTTTCTCCCCGGCCGGAACACACGTACCCGACTTGAACCAGAAAGGCAGCAACCCCCTCTCCATCTCGGCCCAGTCCATTTACGGTTCAGGTAGCATTATTATAAAGCGGAACATTTGGTCAGTGCCAAATCAGCTTCGATTGACACCCCCAAAATAAGCATACATGTACATTGGATTTAACAAGAAGTCACTTTAAAAACCCAGAAAAAAGACATCCTGGACAAACACAGAAAAAACTTCTATCTATAAAAAACATGCCTGACCACTTGTTTCCGATATGGCAGGCTCACGGAGTCCATCATCCGCTAATGACCAGCCCGATGTCTTTTCAGGTAATGCTCTAATGAGAAACACGTACTGAGGAAGGAACCATGATATCCCTGCCTGATAATAAGAAACAAGGACACTCAACTCCTGGAGGGAGATGTTGCAGCTTGCCCGAGGCATTTTACAGGTCAAATATCTCCAAATGGGGGGAAGGACCAAATTTCATACAGATTCATTTCTAGGGGCTCCGTAGTCACAAAATTATGGGAGAATGTTAAGGCCCAGGTGATGCCCTGGTCGGAAAAACAAAGAAATAAGAGAGACATGAAGGATGGAGTTAATTGAAACCTAATCAGGTTAACATTACACTCCCGTGTTTAATTTCAAAATGGTTAAATACTTGTCAAAACTATTGACGGTGCAAAAATGAAACCTGACACGTGGAACGGGACGGTGAAAGCAGTAAAACAGATCAATGTGAAATTAGCTCCATTTGGTTACATCTTTCACCAGGTTGTTTTCAACTCAATGAAAAATTAACACCAAACTTGCTACAAACTGTGTGAAACTTCCACAAGTATGTAAACACCCCACCAGGGTGGATAGGTCATACAGTAAGAGAGGAAACTAGAGGTATAAAGGAGCTGCAGAAATTATGAGCACGCACATACTGGGGGGGGGGTAATGTACATGTACCTTCTCAGACATGCATTGATGCGAATCACATACAGGAGAGTTGAGCTATAACACAGTGGGGTGCATGGGTGGGCAGGCCTTCATTGCATTAGGGGGCAATTCGTTGTGGGGACATTCGCTGTCCAAACATTTTTGGTACCTCCAAAACAGACGGAATATCACGTGGTTTCTCCTCACAAATATGGCACCAATACGTTTGCTCAAGTGCTATTTTGCGACTTCGCACCTGCATGAGGTGTGCTCAGCACTTCTCGGGTAGGCCTGCCAAATTCGCCAAGACTGGATCTAGTTGACACAGCTTCTTGATAGCATCCGCTGTCCCTGTCCAGCTTATCTGCACTGACTAGGTGCCTGTGCATTATGAGGAGCAGGAATGAACCCAAGTCCAGTCCCGGGCCAAGACTTGGGGAGAGGACTGATACTGCTTGAGCTCTGTGCTGGAGATGATATGTCACAATTCATGTACATCACATGTGCCAGAGAGGCCTGGGAAACTGGGCCAGTTGCATTTGAATGGTTTGCGCTGTAACTACCTAGCTTCAATCCTGTATGAGCAAGCCTGGGCCCCAGGGCCTGATGTCAAAGAAGAGAAACAGTTCTGCCAGGACTTTGCGGAGGCCAAATGCCACCAAAGTTCAAAGCCCTCTTAGGATAGGGGAGGGTCGGCGGTCTCTCTGTGTAAAATTTGTCCTCGTATAAGCAGTGCAAGTGGCTAACTTTGACCTTATTCTCTTGGAAGCTATTTATGGTCTTAGTCCCTGAATCTGTTTTACATATTGCAAACTCTTGATGAGGATAGCATCAGACTTTGTAATGATTGCCAGCCATTCCAGACCTCCCCTCTGATGTTTCGCTAAATCTTGCTTAAAATACTTGGGTACAGTTTTGCATGTTTTATTTTTTAAACAACCGTCAAGAACTATCAAAAATTCCTTCCACTTCCCCTGTACAGTACATCTATAGACAAATCATATGTCACTTGACTGATTTTGAGGGATAGGACAACTGTGTTGAGAAGTCATCTTTGCACAGGAGGATTAAAAGTTTGAAATTATTCCTCAGAGCAGACAGGTACTGATTTGGCTGGGATTTGGCTAGGACTGTAGTTACTAGGTTCATATAGCGAAGCCGTTTTCATCCTTCGCTACTCTGGCTTGAAGCAAGTTTACTTTACAAAATGTACCGTGTCAGGTTATTCCATATTCGAATCCAGGCCTTCACTCTTTCATTAACACTTCAAAATCCACCAAGATCTTTGTGTAGAATTGCTTTTTCGTGAAAAAATCACCCTGTAATTTTTTCTCCAATCATCAACTTCTCTGACATAGGATCAAACTCCACATTGGACGACATATGGATTGGGTTTTTCATGTCATTCGAGAGCTGCACGTGTCATTCTTGCTTACGTGCAGCCAACAAATTTGCTGAGCAAATTTTTTCCAGCAACTCTCCCAAAAACCTCTTAAGTCTCGCTTAACTTCCCAAGCCGATTTACCTCGGCTGTTACGATAAATATGACACACTGATGAAGCGCAGATTGCCCCAGCCACAGGAAATACAAGGGATTGCAAAAACATGTAACAGGAGCGGGGCAGAGAATCCCCCAAATGCCTGCGGTGGGTCCTACTATAGGAACACCCGACCCGAACCAAACCCAGGGGACTAACAGTAAGGCATCCAGAATTACTCCTTATGATTCTTCCTGCAGGGAGTTGAATGGAGACAGCTCTCCACCGATAACTGATAGTGAGCAGGGCAGACAACTTCTGAAGCTGACAAGCGAGTTGAAAATTGGTCAGACAAGTAATTTCTGCTTCAAAATGACTGACACAGCTAGCTTTTTTTTCTGTCACAGGCCTCTTCAGCGCAGTCGTTGAAATACAATGTACCTCACATGTATCTATTCTCTAAATTTTGAGCGATAAAAATGAAATAGACAAGCGAGTCACAGACTGTGAAGAATTACACCGTTACCCTACCTACAGTGTAGCTGTTCTAATATATGGAACCAGTAACCATGGTAACCACAGGGACAACATGCATGTACCAGAAGACTACCACAGCTTGCCCTTAGTCAGCTGTTCATTGAAACAGTTGTTCTTACATTTCTGCTGAGGTACAGGTAATGTGTGGGACTGAATAGGCTGATCCACTGAGCCTATCCACAATGTAAATGGGCAACTAACGTCCTCATCTCCAAGCTTCACATTCCAGCTGTGCATGCTGCATGGCCTGTGAGCACATGTTGGACTTGTGCATGTGCATGTCTGATACAGTTGTGATTGATCAGGGAAACATGGAATGGGCTGAATGGACCAGTCTATTGGCAAAGCACACTGACACTGTATTTTGGAGGTCGAGACCTAAAACAAAATGACATCACATTTTGTTTACATATGTACACTTGCCTATGGGAGGTATCTCTCGCATCCCATCTCACACTCTATAGGAAAGTGCACACGTGAACAAAGTATGACGCTAGTATGGAACAGGTCTATCCCATGCTATCAAGTTTGCTTCATAAACTCAGTTTTCCTTGAAGCTTGTGTGATAGTAATACACACCAGAATGTTGCACAGAGCTAACAGAGCAACTTCAGAAAAATTCACAGAAATACTAGTGATCTAGAAATTACATGTACCTCATCTTTCTACGAAAAATTTGCTCTGACAGCATGAGAGTCAACCATTAAGGAATGCACAAAGGAGTTGTTGGAATAATAAATCAAGGGAGATAAATTCATGCATTCTTACATATTGGTTTTCGCCGGTTCTTTCTGGCTGTTTTGAGAATGTACTGCTTGACTTCATTCAGATAATCCATGCTGTTGCCATGACGGCGAGTATCATTCCTTAGCAACGAATTCATCAATTGTGCAGACTCCTGGGGAGGCAGGAATGGTGGGGGCGAGCAGGGAGGGGAGGGGCGGCGAGCATCGATGACGGGAGTGGGCGGATCCAGACTGTACTCTTCTGGGTAGACGTTCAAGAATGAAGTCTCAATGAAGATTGGCTGTCTCTTAACTCTCGGGGGCTCTGAGGGCTTCTTGAAGAAATCGCGCGGTGGCGGTGGCTGGCTGTTGTTGTTGCGGTCCAACAGGCAGCCGTTGGTGGCAATCTTGAGGCGCGGTCGCTCAGTGTTGAAGAGTGTGAGCGTGTCCGAAACCTTCTGGTTGTTGTTCATGTTGCGGTGCAGGCCCCGGCGCGAGCTGATGCGGGGGTTTGTCTGCGGCATGGCGTGGCGGCGCGGGTGATGTGAAGGATGGTGGTGGCTGTGGTTCCACTGCTGCCTGTAACCACTGCTGAGAGTCGCATAGCTAGGATATGCCATCCTAGAGCAGTAACGGTACACTACTTCACCTCCAAAAAACCCACGAATACAAAAAGGAAAACTCAATTGAAGCCTGACTTAAATGTCACACCTTCTGTGCTGATTTAGAACACAGCACTATAGTTCAGTGTTGTACCACAAAGTCCATTCCTCAACTCTGCCGAATTCTTACGAGTTCCTCTGATTTCTAAGTGGTCACATCTGGTTGGTAACTTATAATCCCTCAGGATGGTAGTTTGTAGATGAAGTCAAACTTTATTCCCGATTACAATGATTCAAGTCCGAAGGGGGGGAGCAGGTCCTCAGAGCCTGTGGCGATATCACAAAACGCCAAAGATGGAACAAGCCAAGTTCTGCCAGCTGGTTCCCCCTTCCTGACAACGTCTCAGTGCCCACTCATACTGCTCGGCCAGTATTTATAGCAAAGCCAATCTGATCATTTTTCCTGTGGAAACCCTGAAACAAGATCTGATTCCACCACACAGTGCCTTCGTTCAACCATTGCTGATTTTTATGCAAATGTTGCTGAGGGCCCACATATCCAACCAGGAAAGGCATGCATATTCAAAGGCTTGGAGTGGCTCGTCAGAGGCTGGATACTGCAGCTTTCCCGATAACGTTGCCGATTCTCATGCAAATTTACTACTGCCTTGTACCCAGTGAAAGGGCGTGTGAATATTCAGGAGCTTCCCTCTTGGCCAGTCAGAGGCAGGAAGTGGTCTGTGGGCTGGCGGCTCCAGGCAGGAAGATGCAATTGTGCTGTCTCCAAGTCTGACAAGGGGGTGCGTGTTCTTTTGGGGCTGATCCCTTAAGGAGCACTGAAGCCTAGATTTATGGAAGAAGCCTCTACCTCCCTTTTAATTTCAAGAAAGCTGAGATGTCCGCTGTTAGTGTTAGCTGGATGCGTCAGGCAAGGTGACAACTTGTCATTCATTGAAGGGGAATCTAAATTGTCAATTGAGACTTTGTCAGCAGTGAAATCAAGACTACACCGATTTACACAAGGATAAGAAATGTCAACTTTTTTATTTTTTTGCCAGGTGCCTTGGGGATGGAATCAAAATGTGAGATTCAATCCACAAGCCATTTTCACATGTAAAAGTTAGCAATTTTGATCGCCATGTTCATAAAATAAACCATGTACAAGTACACATGGTACGTGGCTGATGCCTGTTTTGAATTTTAGTCATTTGAACGTTACGTACTGAAATGGACTTTGGACAGTTGAGATCCATTTTGCTCCCACTCAGGAGTGTTCCTCTGCAACAGCATCTTTTGTGCTCATTCTGTTGAAAATTGCCCATGCCATTCACATGTGCAAACCAGTGCAAAACACACGACACACTCTTCCTTGGCTCCTGTGAGTGCATCCAACCCGTACAACTCTGCTGCAAAGTTTGCCAGGTGTCAGGAGTATTTAAAAGTAAAATTGGCAGAAGTATTCACTTTTCAGACTGAATAGATGGCAAAATAGCAAAACTACGTACTTCCGCTCTTCCTCCTCCAGCTCAAAAAAATGCCAACTGGCAACAAAAGTCTTCATCCAAAGTTCTCCTGACAACCACAGCTTACAGACGCAGGGTTAAGGATGAAGCACGGTGAATCACTCTCACACATGCCAACTTGTCACTAGGCCGAACACACATCATTCATAAAAAGTTCCTTCCCTGATTATTGTTTTCGACAGGTACTAATCTGGAATGCATGAATAACACGTGCGCAGAGCCTTTTCAGAGACCACAAAGTCCCGATTTTGACAATGCTGAAACAGCTGCTTGTGCCCATTCCAAGTTGGGATTATCCAGAAAAGACTGATAGATCTATAGTAGCCATAAAATCTAATTAGATTCAACTATTAAAGTGCACAGGACAATTTTCCCCGGTTATCTGTTGGAAACCAGTTTTCCAAACTTGAGACCCCTCTAGCACTGCGCGTTAAAGTTCGACATTGGCCAACATGTTGCAAACTCTTGGTGGCACACTATTGTGAATCGCCCGTATTGCAGATGGAATGGTATTTACACAGAAAACCAGCATCTTAAAAACAATCTCCCCATCATTGCATATCAAATGATGTGCACCATACTCCCCTGTTAAGGTGAAAACATTCTTCAGTGATTTCCTCCGGGCTGATCCCCTACCATGGACTGAACAACACAATGGCAAACCAGCAGAATAAGTGACCTTGAATGTTCTTGAAGCATTACAATGGAAGAGTAGAGTGCCCTCAACTGCTTATGCACTGACTGGATGGCGGGGAATGCGCATGTAGATCCTCATCTGAAGAACGCGATGGCGATCGTCAATCTTTCTCTCTTGCCCGCAAACCTCCTCCCCGAACTGCCGTCCTCTCCTGCTTCATATCGCATGCTTCCTCATTTTAACAATTCACGGAATTATCATTTTTATGACCTTGTGCAGATAACATCAGACCAGCACTATGGCACACAGTGATCTTTTGTGTTCGTGACTTCCAGTTAAGCTGCCACCGCAACGTCACATTAATTATTCACAGGGTCGTGCGGGCAGCATAAATTTCTGCAACTGCATGTATCCAATCTGAAGCTGAATCGTCAGGTGGACATCTTGACGCATCATACGACCTTTCGTGGATCCGTAGACCACCCTGGGGGTCACTTCATCTCCACAGTTGAGCAGAGAGCAAGCGAAAGACAGCTCAGCGCTGAGGTCTCAGGCCGCCGATAATCTTAGATTAAATTGGCACATCTTGAAGACAACTCTGCTCTCTGCTACATGAAGGAATAGGGCAGGTGTACATGTACATGTAAATGTATGCTCAGGAACAGAAGCTAACACAATGACAGCTGAATCCAATTACAGTGTACATCTACACAACAAATACTATAGAAAATAACATCATTAGCATTATAAGCCCCCACCATGCTCTGTCTTACAGCCCTGTGCAGTCAGTGATCCAACTGCTTATTTATACACACATCATAAGCAGCTGCCCATGATCCAGCAAAATAAATAAATGAGCATGATACACGTGTGTACGTGTAAATGGGCAATTCCACAACAAAATTTTCAGGAGTGGAGGAAGGCAATTTTTTTGAGGGGGGGAGGACAGTTTTAGAAATTTCCAAAGAAAATCTGGATGGCCTCTCTGAGAAGATTGAATCTTGGGCCCTTCAAAATGCTTTGAGAAGGTCGGGAAACAAACGAGTCGCTCCCCAAATCTTTTGGTAATTAAAGAAAAGTTGCTCCTGAATATGAGGCATCAGTGTTTGCATTATCAAAATATGATTACAAAGTCAAAGGCAAACAATATGCAAACAATTACACATGTCAAAATCAAACAGTAGGCAGGCGCTCTTCACTGTGCATACATGTACAAATTATTGTCACTACAGGTACACTTTTGAGGCAAAAGTTAAATAGATTACCGGTACACTGGTGCACCATGCAACCAGCACAAAAATGAAACAACTATGAAAACAATATATGTCCTTATTCACCTAATCACCTGAGGACATAAACGTAAAATTAATCTATAAGGGAATATCTGCACATACAATATGTGACTGAGAGCATGATTACCATCATAGGCAGCTGTCATTCATCATAAATGAGTTGATCACTAAAAAGGTCAATTACACAGAGGCGCATGTACATGTGTAATGAAACCGTTGGGTTGTTTTTCACACACTGATATTCTTCACGGTGCTTAACACTGTACAAAGGTGTTTATGTACAGTTCTGAATATAGGCAAGTTAAACCTTTCAAGCTAAGGCACGTAACGTACCCAATCAGGTACAAGAATGCGAAATGCACTGGGCACACACACCTGCTGTTTATGAACCTGTAATGATGTGCTGCATGATGTGCATGCACAATGGCTTTGTGTGATTTTTCCCTAATTTTTCACGAAGACGAGGCAATGTCAGTTTCAATGAATAAAAGCGTATGAAGGGAACGAGAGAGAATATTTACATGTACACACCTTTGATGCAAAGGGTGCCCAGCATTTCACAAATTAATAACTACATGTACTGTAATTCAGGTTCTTAATGTTTTTCCAACCAACATGTACAGTACACGCTTCATTGGCTTTTCTCCACAAAAATACTGTAGGACGGAAACTGTTGTAATGTTTCTCCATCCAGTCGCATTCGTGAACAGTCGCAATCCTATAATGCCGGTATATTTCAAAATGCATTCAACAACTTTCGTCCCACTTTCTGCTCGGCTCTGGAGTTGAGCCATTTCAATATTTCCGAAAGGCAATGCCCTTTAAAGAACAAAGTGCATGATGTTGCACCAGTTCAAACACGCCATGTAAGTTGGCGTATCGCTATGCTGATAGGGCCAACCTCGCATATGCATATATGTACGTTCTCAGGTTCCGCCCGCTTCATTTTCAGCCAGTGCTTCTGCAAACTTGTTCATGCAATATTGTTCTTCACCCCGTTTTCCAGATGCCAACAACACATTCCAGTTAAATAAAGCCTCATATGAGTAACCGTCACATTGGACATCAATACTTTTTTACTATCATACTTTTCCTTTTTCTCTAACCCATCTTTTTTTCTTCTACATGTATCCCTCTTCCCCGTTGAAAACTTTGAGAGGCCACTGAAAGGCCTTATCCTGGGAAAACTCTCTTTGAAAAGAAAATAAAATAAAACATAATCAAATCCTGTCACTGACTGCCACAAGCAGTGTTTCATGTGCATGGTGTTTACATCAGAGAGTTTATTTTTTTCCTCTACCCAGTGAAAGTAAAATCTCCAAGTTAGAACATTCCACAGCTTTTACTTTCATATTGCGGAAGCCAGTCCTTGCCAACTACACCACATCCTCGCCAGGGCTGTGGCCGGGTGTGACAGGCTGTTTTTGACCTGTCGCCTCATTGTTTCGCAATCCCTTAAACTAATCAGCGGGCCCTAATTGTTCAATTGTCCCCGCCAGGATGTGCACCCTGAAAGCCTTGGCAGTGGGATTACGCAGTGCTCTTCCTCCACTTCCAAATTAAGGGCCGGTTATTTGCAATCATTGAACAATTACGCGCAGTCGGGGAAGGCCACCTGGCCTTTGTCTTTTGAGCTTTTCAAACCGGCAGTTCAAGTTTGAGGGGGTAAAATGCCAGGGGCTGGGCTGAATGGTAGGGTAGTCTGTGGTCTGTTTTGATCAAATTAAGCCCGGAGTGCATAAGATGAGTCTAATCTATTAATAGACGGTTTTGATTATCTCACAATCAATCATTCCCTTTTGGATTACAGATTTAATTCATAAAACAGTTTATTTTGCGAATTTTCATGGTAAGTCTTACTTTCATGATAAGTCAAGGTTTAATCGACCAGAATAAACAAGCTATCAGTCCATCTTGGGGAATTCATTTGCACTGAAGTGTCCTCATACATGTATTTCATGTTAGCCACTCATAACTGCAAACCACACATGTACAAATTTTTTGTGTTCGTCAAAGATATTTTTGCTAAAAAAATACATAACATAACTTTCCAATAGTCTTGGGCCATTTTTTTTTACCATCTTTAAGAACTTTTTCCACAAAGAAGTCTTCAGTTAATTGAACAGAAAAATGTAACAGTTATCAATGAGCAGCCCAAATCCATTTTACTAAGACCATTCATGAAGTACAGCAATAAGCAAACCCCATAGATAAAAGCAGTTGCATTTGACCATTCATAAATGTACATGTATAAAATAACCTTTGCACAGGCTGTGAAAAGCGCTTACAGTTCACACAAATTATCTGCTCCTGTCAGCAAACTGCTTCTGCTAAAACCATTAAGCTGTGCTTAAAATCGACCCTGTCAGATAGCAGAAGAAGGAGCTTTTGGAAAGAGTTGGTTCCATCTGGGCGCAGTACAAATCACTGCTTTTACAGTTTCTCGGTTCTTTGTTCAGCTCCGGTCTCCATTTGAAGCAAGTGGAACTGACAACAATCTACAAAAACATTCTCAAACATTCTTAAGAGCTCCATGTTTATTTACGAAATAAATCGGTTGGTTGGGTTTGGTACTTGAACACAGGGCTGGCAAGATGTTTCACTCAAGAGGCCAACAAGGGTGCACAGGGACGCACCACAGACAAAACATTAGTTTGTTATTCCATCACACCTTCCGTTTGCACTGTTAATGACCCTCGGCTGGTCATAACAATAGCTTCCACAAACTCCGACCACAATGGGTTCCTAATGGGTTTGCTGTGTTTCCTGGCAGTGGCCCTACACCCGGTCCCCCCCCCTCCGTCACTGCTTTTTTGGGGAGGATGTGATCATTAGACGGCTCGACGGCAGGAAAGCCGACCTTCCATTCCTCACTAGATGATTTCCTCCACCACACCCATTGTTTTTGAGGGGGACACTTGAAGAAAAATTATTTATCTCATTAATTATAGTTCTCCTCTCTTCTGATACAGGCGATTCACAACAGTGCATCTCCAGGAGTTTGAAACGTGTTGGCCAATCACAACGCTTGAAATTTGTCGACCCTTTCCAAACTTGCAGTGGGTCAACAGATTTTGCACACTGTGATTGGCCAACGTGTTGCAAACTCTCAGAGGTGCACTATTGTGAAATGCCCATATTTTGAATGTCTCACAAGCGCTCCCATGTTCAGGTAGTGCTCACTTGAAAATGAGGGGGCCTGGGTGCCATTTTGGTCAGTGAATGTCAGCAATGAGATGAACAGACTTAAGATGTGGATTCCCTGATGTTTCCAAACTGCAGATTTGCAATGACAGCAAAAACAGGCAAAAGCCAGGCAATGTTATTGTGGCAGTACAGTACCAGTAAGTTAACCTCTTCAAAAAACGGGAGCAAAACACACGTACATGTACACTGTAAACTCCTCTTAAAAATCATTAACTATGTTCTAGGATTCAATTGTACACGTAGCATGGCTTGAGAGTTGATGACATTAGCTTCCTAAAAAGTATTCAGGTACAGTTGCAGATGAACAAGTTCCAATGGTGAAGCCAACGTGAAGATGGGGATTATCTCTATCAAGAGGACCCCATTGACGCCCTCATTCTCTGTGGTGACCTATAAACTGGCAAACATGTACATGTAAACCATCTCAGTTTCTATGCAATCCGCCTCGAGCAGAAGCACCCCTCAGCGGTTGAAAAGAACCATGTTGGTTGGGAGCGTTCAACTTGTTGGTAAAGATGCGACCGTGATGTGTGCATTTCTTAGTAGTTTGTGAACCAGCAATGTTCAATTCTGACCAAAGGAGCCTCAGTTGCAAAGAAAATAGCGCCCTCTCTTGGTCCAACTCAAGGCTCATAATGTGTAAACTTCTGCCCAGAACACATCAATACATGTACAATGTACAATGTACAGCATGTGCACGGACTCATACAAATGGAAGCAGTCTGTCTTCCATCAATCCCCCAGCAAACTGTGAAGTGCCGAGTAGACAGGCCCAGCTGACTCTTAAAAAATGGTGGAATTCATCCCAATGCTGTCCTAGAATTCAGATTCTAATTGCAACCCCCTTCGCATGTCCTTAGGACGCATCCACTAAAAGGAAAAA